CCACATTTTTTTCTGGTTACTTGAACAACAACAACAACAACAACAACAACAACAACAACAACAAAAGTTGGAAAATAAAATCTTAATGTTCTCAAATGAATTTATTGGCCTTTTATTTATGACTGATGAGATGTCAGGAGTTTAATTAAATCAAGTGAAAATTTCTGGGATGGTGATCATATTCTAACATTCTAACATTGATGGACCCTGTTTATTGGTGGGAATTCTTATATTTGAAGAGATTTACAGAATATGATTTGGGAGGGATGTTTGCCAAAGGAGTCAGTGCTAGATGGGGGAAGGCCCATGGACTTTGCTGTCCACTGAGATGTCCTCTTGGGTGACTCCCAGAGGTGCAGGCGACATTGTCATTCTTAGATGCAGCAGAGGAACACAGAGGAGGACCTTTGCTTTTAGCGGTCTTGCTCTCCTTCTCAATTGTGGTTTTGGTTTTAATGCACTTCTACGGGATAAATGAATTAAGCTATTTATAAAGACATGAGCAACCTTCTTAGGATATTTAATGTAAATCTTCTTATCTTCAACTTGCAGCAATTCAAAATTCCTTGTGGAGTGAATATTTGAGAGGAGAAGAAGAATGGTATCTTACAGGGAGCTGGGTAGAATGCAGGCCTTCCAGAACATGAAGTCAGCATCTGTGGAGAGGTTTAAAAGGGTCGTTTTGCTCTTTCAGCAGATATTGAATATTTCCTGTCTGTTGGGCAGACACAAGAAGTGTTCTTCTGCATGGAGCACAGGAGAATGGGGCGGGGGGGGTGGCTTCTGGCCGTATTCACATGCTGATGTGGATTTACTATTCACATTCTGAAGAGATATTAAGCCAGTTTAGTTCCGTGTTCCTGGATGCTTGTATTAAGGGGGACTTACACTTTGAGCAGTTAATAAAATCTAGATTTGCCCCTGCTTGTTGTTGACAAGTTGTCAACTTCAGTTTTTCTCATTGCTGGAAAATCAGACTCCAGGATTATGGGTGGGTTCTTGCTTTTCTGCTGCATTCTGGAGTTCAGACTCCTGCAGTTCTTTGTGATTTGTGAAGTCGGGTAGGCCCAGACCCATATTTTTGGCAGGCCCTATTTTCTAATCAGTTGTTTCCCATACTTGCCAAATCCTGGAAGTTGCCAAGAGGAGCATGTGCCACGTAGACAGAAATGATCCAGCCCTGATGAGCAAGACCTCATGGGAGGGGTTTGCAGAATTGATGTAATTGCTAAATCTAGTCCTCTCCTTAGAACCTTCCAGAGGCTTACTATTCCTGGAGGAAAAAAGGCCACACGTGGAGATGAGCTACTAGGACCTCTGTGTGGCCCTGTCTCTTCAGTTCCAGTGCTCTTCCACATGTGTTCACCTACATTGGCCTCCCCACCAGCCCTCCAACAGGAGGAACGTGGGAACTCTCCCTTCTAAGCATTTGGGCACTTGCTGTTCCCTCCCTCTGCAAGCTCTTCCCTGCAACCATGTGGGTCATTCCTGCTTCTTTGCCTCCCTCAGGGTTTAGCTCCAGGACACTTTCTCAGTGAATCACCCTGATGAGGGTATTGAAAGTGCACCCTGGCCCCTAGCTGTATTCTCATTCCAAGCTGTGCTTCCCTCCATGCTACTTATTGCTCTCTATCCTCTCCTGTGCTTCATTCATTTAAAAGAATCGACCTTCTCACTCGTGATGCAGTCTTACTAGGGTGTGATTTTCGACCACTCAGTTCCCTGCAGCATCTCAGAGTCCAGCACAGTGCTTGATGCACATTTGGGGCTCAGCCTATATCTGCTGAATGGGGGTCTAGAGTGCAGCTCAGTGGAACAGCATTTGCCTAGCCTGTCGAGGACTTGAGTTCAGCCAAAAAAAAAAAAAAAAAAAAATCTGTGAAGGATGGATGGGTAAATAGATGGGTAATGGATTTGTGATGAGTACCGCCATTCTTCCTATCTCCTGGTGGTCTAACAGACATTTAGGGGGAAACTGAGTAAACCTCAGGAAGCGTTCTGTTTCCACAGGGTCATTTCTCCCCAATTCCCAGTCCCTAGCACTTGCCCAATGTCTCACCCTCACATGCAGCCGTGTGTTCCTTGCTATGAATAGCTGTGCAGGAGTGAGGAGGCTGATTTGTGCATGGGTGGGAATCTTTTTGGGGGTGACTTATTCATGATCCATCAGGGTGAACAAACCAGCCTGGTAGGCAGTGCCTTCATTCGGCAGTTTAACACTCCCATCTTATTACATTTCCCACCTTATTATCTCTCACAGTGTAAGATCTTGTAGTGTAAGATTCAACTGCTGTACTGAATTCAAACAGGAAATTTTTACCTCTCCAGGAACTGCTCTAAACTCTCAGGACTCATACTGGGGTCCTTGCACCTTGAGCGTTGTCCTTGCTGGGGAGCTGGTTCGTGGCATCTGCAGGGATTCCTAGAACCAACTCCCTCTGTATACCGAGGGACAAATGTATATTTGGGTAATCATTTTATTTTAATGCTACACAGTAACCCTCTCTTGCATGCATTTTCTCTCAATTATATCTATACTTTTAAATTTTTAAAAATACTAAAAATATTTTTTGTAGTTATAGATGGACAGAACGCCTTTATATTATTTGTTTATTTTTATGCAGTGCTAAGGAGTGAACCCAATGCCTCACACATACTAGGCAAGCACTCTGCCACTGAGCTACAGCCCCTTCTCTCAATTATTGATCATGATGATTCTATCTCAGATGAAAACATTTTGTACTTCTAGTAGAGTGAAAGTAAGCGTGCACTTCCCTTCCCCACTTTTGTTTTCCTGTCTCTCCTTCCTCACCAGCTCTCCACCTTCATAATGTGGGTCTCTTAAGCATGCTGAGCCTTTGACTAAAGAGGAAAATGTTCACACCTAGAAGGAGCCATGTGCCAACTGTATGTGTGCATATAGGTGCACATGTTTGTGTGTGTGTGTGTGCGCGCTGTGTAAATGGAGTCTCAAGTTCAAGTGTTGTATTCAAACTATCTTGCAAAACACTTTCTATTATCTTATCTAAGAGTGTGTGAACTTTCCTGCTTCCTTTCCTGCTGATATTGGTTGCTTTGTTTCAGTGGTTCAGAATGGCCATCAAGAATGGAAGGTGTTCCATTTGACTTTGTCCTCTAAGCGCTAGTTAAGAAGACTTCCTGTACTGTGAGCTCTCTTGTACAGAAGTTAAGCATGCTTTCCCTACTCTTTGATGTGCCTAATGTTAGCTAGTTTATTCTGACTGGCAGAATTTTTCAATAACATCCCAGTATACTGTTGGGAAGAGGGACTCCATCCATGTAAGCACTTAGAGCTAATTCAGTGATATCTCTTTAAGGGTCGGATTTTTAAAGTTTGAATTGTTTTGAAAATGATCTTCATATATTTTATCATACATCTCGAGCACCTAGGCAGAAGGCCAACAATGATTTTTTTTTTTTTTTAAGGACAACTGTGATCACTGTGAATCGTGAAATGCCAGGCTGTTGTATCATGGGAAGCTCTTCTCTGAGGTGGTGGCATTGAATGCGACATGGGGCCATTTCTTGATACATTATTTGACCTCAGGCGTTTGTGTTTCTTGAGTTGTCAGCTTTGGTTTTATTTTGTCTTTCTGGGACTAGTTGAAGTCAGATATTAATAATAGTACATGTGCCCCTGGTATGTGCTGTCTCCTGAGCCCTTTGTCCTTCTCTTTTGATGCTTCTAATTTGTTGTGCATTTGGAACCTGCTAGATAATCTTGCTAGAATGTATTTCAGTTAAGGATGGGCTCAGAGTCATGCTTTTAGACAGTGATCTAGGCATCAAATAAGTACTTGACTCTCCTTCTTTTAATTTTTAAGTAGGTACTTGGATAAACCTGTAGGTAGTTTATATACTTATGGTTCATTTTACCTCTTAGGGTCTCAGTTTATAACTTTGGTTTATTTCATTGTTCATTGACCGTATTGTGCTCTGTGTCAGGAACATATTGAGATGAAATGAACATTCTTACTGCTTCCATAATCTGTTCTGGAGCTAGAGAAATAGATGTAGCCATTTCTCAGTATCTGTGGAGGATTGCTTCCAGGGTCCCCCTCAGATACCAATATCTGTGGATTTGTAAGTCCTTCATATAACATGGCATAGTATTTTCATTGAACCTCCATAACATTTTCCCTTATACTATAAATCATTTCTAGATGACTTACAATATCTAATACAATGAAAGTGCTATGTAAATAACTGTTATACTATGATATCTAGGGAACAATGACAAGGAAAAATGACATGTTCCATACAGATATAACTTTCTTTTTTTGGATATTTTCAATCTGTGGTTGGTTGAATCCATGGATTCAGAACCCGAGGATGCAGAGGTGTACCTTATGAATCAAAGCAGACCTTACATGACAAAGGGATAAACACCACATGGTGGGCTTGAAGAATAAAGAGTCATTATGACTTTGGTCATATTTAATGAGTATATAAGACATGGGAGGATAAGATGGGAAAGACTTTTTATCCGTGGAGAGGCTTGTAAGGTGGAAGGGAGAGGATGTCTCAACTGAAGCAAAATGTGAGCAAAGGTGGACAACTAATGGGTGCATAGAAGGAATGGAATTTGTTTAGGTGTGGTTGCAGCACACAATATCAGTGGTGTGTATCCAGACAGACACGTTGAACTATTAGGTACATGTGTGTACCTAACGTGGCTCATGGCTTCTAGATGGGGGCGGGCAGATGTCCCTGCTTATACTATATGAAAACTAAACAAGCATGTATGTATCAAAGTTTGAACACAAAGATCACCTTGGGAGATGTTCTGATTAGGTGTCCCCTTCTATAAAATACAGGTCTATAGGAGAAGGTCCACACTGCAACTTTCTTGTCCTGAGTTTTGAAACATTATGTTTTTACAAACTGGTTGTAAGGTTTTAAAAACTTTTGTTTTGTTTTGTTTTTTTTAAAGGATTTTCATGTGTAACTAATGGTAGGATTTTTCTTTGCATTTACAGTACAGCCAAGTACAGTGTGTTGACATTTCTACCTCGATTCTTGTATGAGCAGATTAGAAGAGCTGCTAATGCCTTCTTCCTCTTCATTGCCTTATTGCAGGTAATGCCTTTTAAAAAGTACTTAAAATTTGCATCCTGAATTATATGAAAAAAGGAGATTTTGATAACAGGTTCCTTAACTTGAAAAAGTGTTACAATAGTTGCTTATAGTTTGTTTCCCTAATCTAATCATTGATGGTAGCAACAAATGTGATTTTTGTAGAAGGAGAGACTTCATTTGGTATTGCCTTAAGGATAATTGAGTTAGTAAAAGAGGCATGGAAAAAATGGTTCTTGAGGGGATATATTTTTAACTCTTGTGTTTTAAACACATTAGCAATTGAGTAAAATTAAAAAAAAATATCCAAAATGCATAGCTAGTTTTAAAAATAAAGCAATCTTTTTTTTTTTTTGTATAACAGAAATGGAGTAGCACTGTGAAAGAGTGAGCTGTGAGTGCCATATTTTCTTTTATCATGGAGGATTTTAATGTGCTAACTTCCCTTTTGTGGTCTTTTACAGCAAATTCCAGATGTATCTCCAACAGGAAGATATACCACCCTGGTGCCATTCATCATTATTTTAACAATTGCCGGCATCAAAGAGATTGTAGAAGATTTTGTAAGTGTTTGCTTTTTGGATTACAACTGATAATGTAGGTGCTGCTTTGGATGATATGTCCAATACAGGGAATTGGGCAATAGCTGAACCAGCCTTTAGACTGGTGATAGTATTTTTTGGGGAGATAACTTGTACTCAGTGTCTTGGATCCATACAGTGGTCCTCCTGCTTCAGCCTCCTGAGTTGCTGGGATGACAAGTGTGTCCTGCCAGCTTGGCCACCAAAGCTGATCTTGAAATTGAGAATTACAGACATGCACCACTGCACCTGGTTCTGCCCCTTATTGTTTGTTATTTCAGTTTTTCATTTGGAACTTTTGAATCTAAGAATCATTTGTTTCTTTCTGTAACAGAAACGACACAAGGCAGACAATGCAGTTAACAAAAAGAAAGCAATAGGTAAGATACCAGAGATTATCATTTTTTTTCCTGCATTGTTGTATGCCTAAGGCCTGCATTTAAGTAAGTAGTTAATGGTACTGAGATAAGTTAGAAAAATAATATTAGCCCTGATAATTAATATTTGAAAAGGACTGTGTATTTTAGAATTTTAGAAAAGGTTGTAATTATCATGAACTAGACTGTGATTATATCCATTGAAGTATTCATGTCCCTGGTTTATACTCTCTCCCTACCTCCCTTTTTCTACTTTTTATTGTTTTGCTATTTTATTGTTGTTGTAATTGTGTGTTTGACATCTGTTTTTTCCTGCTTCTGGGAGGAATATAAGTAGATTTTTTTTTCTTTTTTTTTGGTGAGGAATGAGGGTAGGTACCGGGGATTAAACCAGGGGTGCTTACCTACCGAGCCACATTCCTGGCCCATTTTTGTTTTGGAGACAGCTTCTCCCTAAGTTGCTCAGAACCTCACTAAGTTGTTGAGGCTGGCTTTGAACTTGCACTTTTCCTGCTTCAGCCTCCTGAGCTGCTGTAATTATAGGCATGTGCCACTGCACCTGGCATAAGTAGATTTTACTTACATATAAACATAAATATTTATGTGTTTGCAGAAATGTATGTATGTTACAAAGTATATAGGTTGGGGCTCCATTTCTGGGGGTAATGATGTTATGTTTTTCTGTCAAAGGACACGATATGTTAGAATTAATAAATAGAAGTTTAAAAAGAGCCTTTTGGATTTTTAGGAAGCTGCTTTTATTTGATCGTCACCAATCTTAACTGACTCAGTGTTTATTTTTTTCTTTTCCAGTGCTAAGAAATGGTATGTGGCATACCATTATATGGAAAGAGGTAAAAACTAATTTTAAAGATAATACTGGAAGGTGTTGATTTAGAAATTTGTAGTGAATTGTTCATATTACACAATATAAAGCTTTCATTGAGGTCAGGTAATCTCCATTTTATGTAAGTTTTTCCATTAGGTCTGCAGAGAGCTGATGTGGGTTTCCTCTGTTTCTGGCCCCTTCTAGAATGTACCTGTGAACTTCATTTCTCAAATTTCAAAGCATTTCTAAACCCAATGTGAGAAACATTTTCTGTTGTTCTCTTGACCTAAATTAAAATGTTTAGAGTTGTTGTTTTGTTTTTTTTAAACTTTGAGATTCTCATTTCTAATTATTATTGGTGAGAAAGAGTTATCACTAAATACAGAGTTTAAGTAGGACACCCTGTGTTTTGGTTCTGAGATGGGGGTAGATGAACATGAACAATGGTTGCTGCTCTTAACTTCATAGAAGCAAGAAATGATTTCTGACCATATTCCTGGAAGCATGACATGGGGAAGTTTCAAGAATGGGGGTCTTTGGTTGTTTGTAATAATGAACAGGAAATATAGAAGAAATCTGGTCTGTTATCTTGATATTTTGTAACTGATAAAATTAGCTTTTTAAGCGAGTCTGTTAAGAGGACCTTCTTAATGGATCAGAGATGTTTCTCAGGGATGCTTCTCATTAGTCCTCTCATTAGTCTCATCAAAGTGGATGATTTCAAGAGAAAACAGCTTTTTAGAAGGGCAACTAAAAATAGTTTTTATTGCTGAACAATTAGCAAACAATGTTTTAAATATGTCCTATGGTCTTATATATCTGAAAAGAGTGACCAGGATATGGTTATTGCAGCCTTCACTTTGGTTTAGTTTACTTTTGCTTACTTTTACAAGATCCACCACCTTTTAAAGAAATTTCCCCTTTATAAAAGTGTTTTTCATAACACCTTCACCTTTGTAGCCATCTAGAGGTCCTGTGCTGTCCACATTCACTGGCCTCCCTGTCATCTACAAGTGAAGTGCGGTAGTTCTTGGTCAAGACATTAGAAATTGTTGACTTTGGGGAGAGAAATGCTGCTAGTGCTGTAGGAAGTCAAGGGTCCCCATGGCCCTGGGGAATTGCCCCTTTATTTTTTTCTTGCCCAGAAAAAGCTCTGTGTTAGTCATCTTTCTATCACTGTGACCAAAATACCTGACAAGAATAACTTAAAGGAGGAAACATTTATTTTGGATTTCAGTCCAGAGTTGGCCGAGTCCATTGTCCTGTGAGGCAGGACATCATGGCACAAAGAGTGTGGTGGAGGCCAGCTGCTCCATTCATCAGAGCCAGAAATCAGAGAGAGGGAAGGGGTGAGGGCTGCGTGGAAGAGGACTGTTCCCGGGCACAGCCTCGGTGACCCACCTTCTCCAGCTGTATCCCACCTGCCTACAATTACTACCCAATTCGTTCATTCAAATTAGGGTGGATCGATTAGATGACAGCTGTCATAATCCAATACTTTCACCTCTGAGCATTCCTGCGTTAACACAGGAACTTTTGGGGGACACTTCATATCCAAATCCTAACAGATGTTAATAGTGGCCAGAGTGAAGAGGAATTTGGTTCTGTATTGTCTGGTGTTACTTAAAACAGTGGGAGATGGAAGAATGATGGTCACAGATTTTTGGGTTCAGAAGTTGATGGCCTCGGGGCTGGGGATGTGGCTCAAGCGGTAGCGCGCTCGCCTGGCATGCGTGCGGCCCGGGTTCGATCCTCAGCACCACATACAGACAAAGATGTTGTGTCCGCTGAAAACTAAAAATAAATATTAAAACTAACTAACTAACACTCTCTCTCTCTCTCTCTTAAAAAAAAAAAAAAAGAAGTTGATGGCCTCAAAGTTTCCTAAAGCTCATTTTTATTTCCCCACACACTTTTGGGAGAAAAATACCAACAGCAACAACACACCTGTTGAATACCTTGCCACATGCAACTTTATTTCAAATTTAAAATGCATTTTATTTGTTTATAGATCCATTTGCCCAGGAAGAATAGAGCATGGCTCCTGCCCTTGTTGTGCAGTGGCCCACAACACTTGGCCAGCATTCTGTCACCTCAGAGTCTGATCAAATACAGATCTGGCCCCCCTCCAAGATTTTGTGATACACTGGGTTCTAGAATTTGAATTTTTAACAAGTTTATGGGAAGAGGTTGATGGGGATGAAGTGGGGTGCACACTCCAGAACTGGTGTAGTGGAGAGACAGTTGGCATGCTGACTTCTCCAGGGCGTGTGCAGGTGCCTTGGGATCATCTCCAGGGGGCAGTTAATCTGGAGTGATTGGTTCTAGTCAGGCAAGGATTTTCTCAAGAGATGTTCAAGGAAGAGGGTGTGGAGCTGAGTTGTTTGGGAGGACCAGGCACAGCTGTACAACTTAGTATAGTTCAGAATGAGCATGGGGATATGGGAGAGAACATTGATGTCCAAAGCAATAACTCTAATCCAAAACGTGTCGAGGCTCAAGCAGCAAGCTCCTGGGGTGGAACTGGACAGGCAGCCTTCGGCTAGATCTCAACAGCTCTGGTCACCACTGAGCGTTTTCTGCCTCCTTCATCAGTAAGAGACTTGAAGAATCCTCTGAGGCTAGAGTGAACTCGGGGGCTTGGAATGGTTTTTTTTCCACTGTATTAAGTCTTTTAGATAGTATCACATATGCAAGGGGCAATCATGTATAAGAATATCAAATAGAAAATCATTTTGAAGCAGATTCCCAGGTAAGTAGTTTCTCATGAACATGAAACTTCTCTCTCTTTCTCTCTCTCTCTCTCTTTTTTTTTGTGGTGCTAGGGATTGAACCCATGGCCTTGTGCGTGCAAGGCAAGCACTCTACCAACTGAGCTAAATCCCCAGCCCTGAAACTTCTTAATACTTGATTACTAGAAAAAAATATATATTTAAATTTAGAAATAAAGGTGAGAGAAAGCTGTAATTTCCCTTGTCTTTCCCCTTTGAATTAGGGAAAAAAAAAGTCTTTAAAAATTTTTTTTTGAAATAAGGACTAATTTTTCTTTCTAGTGTTTTCTCAAATTAATTGGTGCTTCTGATTTTTCTATGTAATTAAGCTGAATAAATTAGTTTTAGTTTTAAAAAGTACTTTAAATTTACATAAATATCCCTTGTTTTTTGTGCTGATGATTGTTAAAATAGCTCTGTAGCAGGGATTCTTTAACTTCGCTTTATCTTGGAATATACTTTAATTATATGCCTGCCTTTTGCCTTTAAATTGAATACTAACTTATGTCTTTGAATTTGGTACTAACTGTAAATGCACAGGGTTCTGAAAATTAATTTTTACCATCCTTGTCTATGTTGAACCCAATTAGACTTCCCCCCACACTTTGATAGCAGTTCACAGCACTAATAGAACACCTTTCAGAAAACTGTTTCTTCTTTCAATAGTAGTTTTTGTTTTTGCAGTGTTTGGGATTAAACCCAGTCTTTGTACAAGCTAGGCAAATGCTCTATCACTGTGTCACACGCTACCTCCCTGAAAGAAAATAGAATGGGTACTTGCTAGTTTATATAATTTTTCACAAGTATTATATAAGTTTCTAAAAGAATAATGATATGGTTAGAATAGGAAACAGGAAACATTAAGTACCCATTTTGCATTTTGCAATTTTGTAATACTTGGTCTTCTTTTTAGATGTCATAGAGAATTCTAATTCCCTTGACTTTGTCACTGACGATGTCCATTCAGTGACACACATGCTGAGTGGGACTACACTCATATACCAGTTTTGTGCCAGGTGCTGTATATGCCACCTTAAGAGCCAGTGGTATTCTTTTCCCATTTTAGAAGTGAGGGTTCTGGAGCCCTGGGAGGTGAGGCAGCTCGTCACAGTCATAGAACTAGTGTGTGTCTCTGAATTTGGGACTTGCGCCTGTGCTTGCTTGATTGGAAAGCCCACAGTCTTTCTAAGTTGGTGTTTCTTCTGAAATTATTTAAGTGATTTTTAGACACTTACCCAGGAGGCTTTTGGAAGACGAGAGCCTATCCTGGAGTACTAGTTGACAAATAGGTAATTGTAAGAAAATGTAATGTTCATAATTGTTCAGATGCACCTCTTTTCTCCATTTCTTTTTTTCTTTTTCATGAAATGGTGATGCAAGTTGTCCTTCAGTATCCATGAGGATTGGTTCCAGGATGCCCCATAGATACCCCAATCCACTAATGCTCAAGTCTCTGATATAAAATAGTGTATCATTTGCATAGAACACAAGTACATCCTCCCATATACTTTAGATAACCTCCCATATACATCTCTAGATGACCTAGTAAAATGTAAATGCTATGCAAATAGTGTTATACAGTACTGATTAGGAGATAATGACAAGAAAAATGTATATATTAAGTACAGGCACCCCCCCCACATTTTTGATCCTTAGTTGCTTGAATCTAGTGCTGCAGAACCCACAGACTTGGAGGGCTGACTGTGTTCCAGGTTGTGTGGAAGCATTTTCCTTTTGCTGTTGCCAGACATGGTTTAGTTATATAATAACTTTCTTCTTCATTTATTTAACTACCCTGCTCACATTTGTGCTTTCTTTTCTTTTGTGCCTCTCTGTCCTTGTCCCTTTCTGTAGGTGGCAGTGGGAGACATCGTGAAGGTCCTCAATGGACAGTATCTTCCAGCAGACATGGTCCTGTTCTCCTCCAGGTCAGGTGTGCTAGTGGGCACATTTTTTTTTGAAATGAATATTATCAACAATTAAATATAAAAAACAACAACTGTAGAACTCTCGAGCCATCTTTTCTGTTCTACCCTGTGAATTGCCAGAGTTACTATCCTATTCTCACTATCCTGTTCTCCAGTTAGTACTCTATTGGCTAACTGTAGTTAGAGATTTTGAAGCATTTTGAATTTCAAAATTTTGGATTAGGGATGCAGAATTGTTACAGTCACACAAACATTCCAAAATCCAAAACAATCCAAACTTGGAAAATCTGAAAATCCCAAACATTTTAGATAAAGGATACCCAACCTGTGCTTTTTTTCAATTACCTTCTCTTGCCTTGACCCTTGGTTTTGTTTCTGCCCTTTGTCCTTTTAGGCTTTTTGTGAATTCTTTTTCTTACAGGTTTTGACTTTTTCTTGGCCATTCTGGGGCATTTTCCTCATTGATAAGTACACTGATTCAAGGGCAGTGGAGTGATACATCCTAACACGCAGGGGGCACATATCAGACACTTCAGCACCAGTTTCCTGGTGGGTCAGACAGATAGCAGTCTGCCCAGGCAGAACCCAGTTCTGCCCTTGAACAGGTGTTCACAGAAACACAGGCATTGTCTCAGTGTGGACATGACCTGCGATGATACTTGCTCTTTATTCATCCACAATTCAAGCCCCATTTGCTCAAGTGGCATTACCTTGTTCTCCAGGTAGTTTTATGCTAGAAAGGTGTCATCACTCAGTGACATACATGATGGAACAGTGCAGCTCTTGGCTTGATGAATAAAAGTTCAGAGCAAACATCAGCCAAATACAGTGGTGGTTCTAGCACTTAGAAGTCTGAAGAAGGAGGTGAGACTAGGAGTTTGAGAGCAGCCATGGCAACACAACAAGACTCTTTTTTTTTTCTCTTTCTTTTAGTATATAGCAAAGAGAGAAAGTCAAAATCAGCGTAAAGATAAACTTCCATTCTTGATTTTAAGATTAAATTATATGATGTTTAAAAACTGTTTCTTCTATATTAATGGGTGGCTAGACTTATAGATCCTCATGCTGTATGCATTTTCTATGATTGCAAACAGTGTTTCTTGTATTGGATTTGATCATTCTTTAGGTTTTGAGCCTTAGCATTCGTTTTATGCTAGAGATGAAAAATTTAAAAATAGGGCCTGAGTCCTATGGAGGGAGAAAAACACTGTAAACAGGGGGATTCATGTTTGGCCTTATTCGTAGGAAACAGAGTAACTCTTTAGACATGTTAAAGCTTTAATCACTTGGTAGTTTGGGGTAGGAGTCTTGTCTGTGACCCTCAGATCACTTAGTTTTAATATGGGATGGTTTGTCTGAGCTGACATATCGTCAGGATACTCCATGTGCCTGAGTGTGCACTTTGTGCTGAATAGCCTGCTCAACACAAAGTGTCATTTAATCTTTCCAACTACCCTGGATATCCTTCATTCATGCATGGGACAATCAAGACATAGAGAGATTAAACCACTTGCCAAGACCATATAGCTCCTCGAAGTAGCACTAGGGGACTTTAATTTAGCTAGTGAGTTGCAGAGTCCATTCTTTTAGCCATTAACTATGCCAGCTAACCTAAACCAGAAGGTTAGAAATAAGAGTTTTATCTGCCACACTTATTTTAATTCTTTGGATGCTGTCCTTAAAATTAGGTATGAAGAGGTGAATTTGGTGTCAACATACTTTATATACAAACAGAGATATGGTAAATTGTGGTATAAAGGTGTATTAAGAATTGTAATGCAAAAAAAAATATAAGAGAGCTCATGTATAATGGCATAATTTGGTGTGAACATACTTTATATACAGAGTTAAGAAAAATTGATGAATAAAAGTTCAGAGCAAAAATTGATGAATAAAAGTTCAGAGCAGAGATCAGCCAAATACAGTGGTATTCACAGTGCTGTGAATGGATAATTATGATTATAATGCATTCCACTAGTTTCATGTATGTAAGAAAAAAAAATAAACAAAAAATTAGGTATTGGATTAAATAGTTACCTTTTGACCCAGTAGAAAGTATAGGGAAGCAAAAAGGTTTGTCAAGTTTATGCCTTGATTCCCTAACTTCTGTGACTGTCATTTTCCTCAAAAGGTGTGTTTGTTCTGGCCACTTCTTTTGATCAGGTGTAGGCCCAGCCTCAGCTTTTAAGAATTCCCCTAGCCCAGTGATTGGGTCTTGCTTGGGGCATCATGTGTTTTTGATATGACATCCTTTCCTTCTCATTGAATTTCAGTCATTTCTGTCTTCTTGAGGCCAGGGGGTCCTTTTGTGGTGCCTGCGAGAGTGGATTATTTGGGCAAACAACTTTGTATTGCTGTTGAGCCCCAAAGATGGAGAGCGTGTCTTCTTTTATCACCAATCACTACTACTAGCGTGGTTGTTTATAACAATGTGTTTTGAAGGACTCATCAGCAGACATGGTTTCCATAATAGTTGATGAGCTATGAATCTAGGGAGATGATGTTACTAAATGTGGCCCTCTTTTTCCTTTTTCTCTCCTTAGTGAACCTCAGGCAATGTGTTATGTCGAAACAGCTAATCTAGATGGGGAGACGAACCTTAAAATACGTCAGGTAAAGTTACCTTTATAACTCATGTTATAGATGTTCAAGTTACAGTTGGTCCTAAAGGTACCAGTCATTGTCTTTTGTGGAGAAGTTGTTCAGCTGCCAAAGGACAGGCCTTCACCCTAATGAAATCTATGGAAATAATGTGTCTTTAATTATAAGGGGAATTTTTTGAGAGGGACCGAGAAAAAGTGGACTTTGTTAAATTGTAGGTCGTGGAGGGAGGGTATCATGTTTTCCTTTGTATCTTACTGGCCTCTCTATCTGTGATGCTGAAGAGAGGGGACATCCTCAGCCAGATTGATCTGGGTGATGGAAAGAACAGCAACTCTAGTGGACAAATGGAGTAGACAGGCCCTGGGTATCTCAATTTACATTGTGTTGAAATCGAGATTCTAATTCTGGAGAGTGGTATATTATACCCCCAGTTTTCATGTCTTAAATAAAATTATTCTCTCCATACATTTTATTCTAGCATGAGAAATAATATTTAATGTATTATTGACACCTTTTCTGCTGACTAAAGTTTAATTCAATAATTCTGTCCACAGATCTTTCTTTTCTCCATAGATTTAGACATTCTCTTTTCTATTTGGAACTAATGAAGTTTATTATACTATTCTGTTCTTTTATGTATGTTTGGAAATGTTCAGAATAAAATGTTTTAAAAATCAAAAAAGAATTAGCAAGTGCTAGGCAGTGTAAGATATTGAAGGGGATACTTTATTCTATTTTCTTGACCAGTGTTAGAACGCTTTCTAAAAGTCATTTCAATATGTTATTATTTAAGCATAAATGTTTCCAGCACTGGTGGAATCTTCACCTTCTGCTAAACTGAAATCTTTTGCATGAGGTTGTTGTGGCAAAAGCTGCCAGCTATCAGTAAGGATTTTGAGGGGCTGATATTTGCTTTATTCAATAATTGCACTGTAGATGGCTGGTTATATCCTTATGATTGACAGAATGCTGAATGTTGTCCCTTAAACATGGAAAAGAGTGTTCACTTTTGTCTTTTGATTTAAATTTTAGGGTTTGAGTCAAACTGCTGACATGCAGACGAGGGAGGTGTTGATGAAATTGACAGGAACCATAGAATCTGAGGGGCCTAATCGTCACCTCTATGACTTCACCGGTACCTTGCACTTAGATGGGCAAAGGTGTCAACTTTCTTTATTATATTATTATTATTATTAATAATGTGACTAAGAGTTACTGAAGCTTTGGAAAAGTTGTTTGTTTCCTAGTCTCCTAATATTTGAAAACTATAAGATTTCTCCATATTTAGCTTAATTCTTAGGCAAACTCTCTACCAAGTGAGCTACAACCCCAGCCCCAACTGAGCTTTTCTTGAAAAACTATTTCAACATCAGTTTAAAACTTCCCTTCCATTTAAACAAAAGTGATTTTTAAAAATAACTTTATTTATTTATTTATTTTTTATGTGGTGCTAAGGATCGAACCCAGCACCTTGAAAGTGCCAGGCAAGTGCTCTATACTGAGCTACAACCCCATTCCCCAAGAAGTGATTTTTGACAAGAGCCCAAGGGCCTAAGATGAAATTCATACTAGTTCTTCCTATGTCCCTGTGACCTGCAGAGTAGAAGAAAAGGTTTTAGCTATAACAAACAGAAAAAGCAGGAGAGATACCGGAGTTGTTTAACAGTCAATGAACTTGTACGAGAAATTTATCCTTTTTTTTTTTTTTTTGCTAGCTCTCTTCTAAATGGAATTTGTTTGTATTTTATAATTTTTATTTTTGCAGTGCTGTGGATCACACCTAGGGCCTCCCACATGCTAGGACCCCAATCCCCTTTTGTTTCTGGAAAGTTGAATGAAGTAAATTGTTATTCTTCCTCTATAGAGTATTCAGTGCTAGATTGTCTATATTGTGTTGTCCTTGTCTCATGGTATTTGTTTTATTGTCTGAGATGTTGGGGTGCAGTCTCTATCTGCTGCCCTTCCTTTATCTGCATGCTCCTTATTAGTGCCTCCACAGCCTGTCAGGTGCTCCTTTTTATTTCCAATAGACCCAAAGCAAATATGATAACTAAGTGCACTTGCTTGTTGATTGTCATCTAATATGTGTAGACAGTGTACATAGCCCCCTTTTAAATTTTTAAATTATCACTCATGTCTCTATTTGATCATTACATTATCTTTGACAAATTTGATATGACACATTTATTGCTTATTTTTTTCTTATTATAGTCTATAAAATAAATTGGGTTTTCCAAATGAATAAGCGTCTGGTTGTTACTTTAGGTCTTTCTTTTCTAGGTATTTTGTTTCACAACAGGATTATAAGAGACATAATTCCCTTTAAAACTTCATAGGAAAAAATAACAGCCTCTTTCTCCATAGTGATGAGTGAATAAAATGGACATTTTCGTGGTTCTTTTTTTTTTTGGTAGATTAAGCCAAAGGTAACATTTATTGATCAAATTTGACTGAAGGGAGCATTTGCTTTATTGTGGGTTTACATTTAAGGGGGTAAGCTCAAGCTTGTCTTGTCAGACTATCATTAAACATCAGTGTTGTTTCTTACTTTTAGCCCTGTTGCCCTTGGGCCTGACCAGATCTTATTAAGAGGTACACAGCTTAGAAATACTCAGTGGGTCTTTGGCGTAGTTGTTTATACCGGACACGACACCAAACTCATGCAGGTAAAATGTTTCTATGCTGAAAAACAATAATAATTTTAGTTTGTCTTTGTTCTTACTTATTTCCCCCCACCCCCTTTTTTTTTGTTTTGTTTTGTTTTCATTGAGTGGAAAGTTTGAAATTGCATTTAGGAAGCTCAAGTTTGTCTTTCAACCTAAATGAGGAAAGAGAGTGCCTTAGGTAGTTTCTTCTGGATTTCCATCTTAACAGATACTTGTTACCTCTTGCCTGAAATACAGATGGTCTTTGTTTTCTAGATTTGAGAGGGATGAATGATTCTAACTTACATTGTTTTCTGAACTTAAGTGGGGATTAACTTTAACCTTTTTTTTTAAATTTCTCAACTTCTTTTTACTCCAGTTAATTAGATTTCACAGCCGATTTTTATTTAGCTGAATTAAAGAACTTATGCTTAGTCTTCATATACCAAAGGAAATTATTCATTTAAAAGAATTTTGCTGTTTTTCCCTGTTAATTTTTTTTTAAAAAATCTCATTGGTGAATTGATACCACAAATTATATTATGACACATTTGATCAGGCAGCTTTTGAAATTCCACATTAGTTAGTGTCCCTCTGTGTCATTTCTTATATTCTTTGGTATCATTTGGGATTATTTTTTGCTAGTGGTAGCTGTTAATGAGAATTGACTTTTCTTCTTGTTTAACCCTTTAATGTAATTTATAAAGCACACATTTGGCTGTGTTTCTTCATTTAAAAAAAAATATGGTGACTATGCCATATATATCTTATGTTAAGCCATATAGATACAATAATGAAAAATCTAGTCTTACTCTCTGGGAACCAGGTAGAATAAGGAGTAGTATGGAATTACAAAAAAGAGATGTTATAAAATGTGTTGTTACAAAATCCTACAGTTGTATAAAAAAGGATCATATGCCCAGGTTTCAGGTGTCATTTGACTGGATACTGCAAATAATTCTTGGGCAGAAACACGTTTTAAATAATGCATTAGAGGAAGGGAGATTGGTGTGTTGATCCATTCCTTGAGGTCAAATGATAGGATGAGAGCATTAAGTATTAGAATAAATGGAATGATAGACACAGAGCCATACCTAATTGATCAGTGAAGACTGGGAAGGGAATTAGGATTAGAAAGGTGGAGACACTCACTGAAGTTGAAGAGCATTGTTGGAGCTGTTGCCTGACAGATGGTTAAGTGTGTAGGATACTCATCTTTGAGTCTCTGAAGCTGAGTGTTTATGTGTGATGAGTCCTAGGGTTGAACCATGGAAATGGGAAGATTAAGCTAGAGCTGTAGATGGTCACTCAGGACTGAGCAGTAAGGGACTGACAGGCTAAATTAATGGGTCGTTGGTGTTGCTGTGATTTCGAAGGTAGGATGACAGCAAGGTTGGGGCAGAATGGAATTCCATGAGCCAGGTGCAGAAATCCTCAGCGAGAAAGGGGGAGAGAGAGGTCAGTGGACCTGCTGCCGGGAAGGGCAGAATATAGTGCAGCCAACTGGCGTGAGTTTTACGAATGAATTTGTTAACGTGGCATTAGAGGAATAGAAATCCAGAAGCATTACAAGGTCTTCGATATACATACAGTAAACTATCTCCAGATGCCAAGGGATGGAGTCTTTGCTCAAGTATCTGTGCTGTGGAGGAGGCCCTAGTGAAGGTGTGTCCTCCACTGGGTAAGGCCAGGAGCAGGAGGAGATCTTGTGAAGCAGGAGGAGGACTGAGGGCAGTTTCAGTCACAGAAGGGTAGGGCGCTAGGCGCAGTGGAATTCTTGCAGAGATTGTGTGTTGGATTCCATGGCAGGTAGAAAAATGAACAGTTAGCGACTGCTGGAAGACAGCTCTTGCTGGATCAAGATTTTTCTGCCTATCTGAGATGTGTCCCATTTACTCCTCCTGCTCGGGCCTCATCTGTCCACAGAGGCCGATTAGAAAGCTTTCTGAGCAGTCTGTACGCAAAGTCTTTAACTCGGTGAAGAGCTGATTGCTGTGCCACCAAGTGAGTAGCATTGAACTTCTGCAGCCCAATGACAGTGACCTTGGCGAGCACTTGGAACTCTAGTAACCAAGATCACTATTCCTTTTATTTTGTGATGAAGTGATTAAAGAGATCATGGGTGGCAGGGCCCCGATTCTAGTTTTCAGCTTGTGCACCTCACAAATCCAAGCACACTCCAGGCTTCCTTGAGAATTGGGTCACTTTGTAGGGTATGGTACTGTTTTCTAGATCATACATCGGTGATACAGCTTTCTAGCTAAGGTCTAATAGTTATTTGCACCAGGTGAGCCCATGCAGTTTGTAGCCCATGAGTGGGAGAAGCACTTTCCTTTCCCCTCAATGTGACAAACTTCTTGATGAGGCTTATTGCTCGAGTATAGAATGATGGAAAGCCCCAGAAACATCTGTGCTCCTCTCACTGTGCCTTTAGGGCTGAATCAACAAGTAAAAATAACAAGCTTTTAAAAGAATATGATATCACACACATAGCTGGAAGCCATCCTGTCTGTGTAATAACTTTTTTTTTTTGTCTGTACTTGTAGTACTTGACCACAGAGAGGAACTCAGTTTCTTTAGGGCTCTTTTTCTTTCTTTTTCTTTCTTCCTTCCTTTCTCTCTCCGCCCCCACTTTGTTGTTGTCTTTAAACTTTTAGGTCAATGCTTTCTACTGTTGAGGGTTCCCTCTGTTAATGCTTAGTGTAGTTCCATGTAGAAATCTTTCAATCTACCATTTCTGTTGGTTGATTTAATGGGAAAGAGAGAAATTAATACCTTAATTAGAGCAAAAATTAGTATCAGCAAATCAGGCATTACTCTAAACAATTCACACATATTAACTCATTTATTCTTCAGTATGAGGAAGGGAACTATCCCTATTCTTATTTTATAGCTGATGAAATTGAGGCACATTGTATAAATACGTAACCCAAGCTTAGAGATGGAGTTGAGATTTAAATCCAAGCAGGCAAACTCCGAAGTCATTGTTTCAACCAGTATTCTGTGGCCCACTTTCTTTATAAGAAATAAAATATGTGAAATTCAAGTCTTAATTCAGCTTTTTCAAAATACCATTTTGACCTGTTTCTACTTAAAACTCCATTGCATCAAAGTAGCAGTGTTTTTAAAAGAATTTTATAGAACTTGTGATTCCATTAGGAATTTAACATTAAAAGTTCATCATTCCAAGAAGAGATGTTCAGGGCTTGGGGCTGAATGAGCAGAGCATGGCTTTTCACAAAGTGCAGGTGTTGAAGCCTGATGTTTTGGGGTCATTTCTGTTGTGTTGGATATAAGATAAATTTTCCTAACCCTGTTAACTATCTGTAGTTCAACCACTGGAAAAGATCAGAAGTCAATAACTAATGGGGTCCTAGAAATGAGGTTAATTGTATTTTTTTCCTTCCTGTTCATTCAATGAATGTTTATTAAAAATGATAAGATCATATTTAGTTTTTAAAAGATTAGGATAAACAGTCTTGGAATGGGCCTGCTGGCTGTTGCTGGGAGACCAGATGGGGACGTGTTGTACCAGTTGACCTTTTATATGGTATTTGATTGATGATAAGTTGGCCTTTACTAATGGATTTCCATTTAGAGTCTAAAGGAATTTTTTGAAAAGCCTGTAAAGGACAAATAATTTAGAGAACTAAAGAGAAAGAGGAAAAAAAGTATAAATAGAAGAAATGATGCAGTATTATTTAGATTTCTAAAGGACTTAGCTTTTCAAAATCCCAAGTATAACAATCCCCAACTTCCCTACCACCAAAGAAAGCCATGGTGACAGCACTACAGTATTTCTAGGTTTGGTGGTAGAATTCAGATAGAGTTCAGTGACATCATGGCATGAGATTCTCTCTGAATCTTAGGAGTGATTTGCCTCTTGTTTTCATCTCAGTTTTAGTTTTACATTGCAACTTCACTTATATTCTTTCTGAAGACATTTCCATCCTAGCTCTCTTTCAATGATCAGAGAGATTGAGGATATAGAAGACAGCGCTTAACTTAAGTTTGATGCATTTCTGTGTTAGTTAATGCCTTATAAGCTTCTCTGTCACCCAGTCTTTGCAAATCAGTTTGGCTGGTGGAAAGCCAGGGCTGAAACTCACGGAAGGAGACTTGCAGACTGAAGCTCCAGCACCCACCTCACGCCATCCAGTTCGTGCCTTCTGATTTAATGCAGGAATTGCCTCACCTCCAGGAATGGATTATCATAATTAATTCCCACCTAGATTTACTTTCCTCTGTGTTTCCTCAGCCATTTGTATTATTGTATTTTTTTTCCTATTGCGACTTAACAAACTCCCACAAATTTAGTGGCTTATAACCCCCCAAGTTATAACCCCCCACTTCTGTAGGTGAGAAGTTGGATATAGGTCTCACTGGACTAGAGCTTAAGATGTGGGCTGCTCTTCTCTGCAGGACCTGGTGGGTGTCTGCCCCTTACCTTTCAGCCTTTGGAGGTGCCTGTTTTCTTTGGCTTGTGATTCTTTCTCTCCATATTTTAAGGCAGCAATATTGTAGCTCTCTGACCATCTGTTGTCACCTCTCCCTCTGATCATGATAAGAAAAGGCTCTCCCTTCCTAGGACCCTTGTGATTAGATTGAGCCCATTTAATTAATTCAGGACACACTCCCTCTCTCAGAGACTTTAATCATATGGGCAAAGGCCCTTTTGCAGCCAGCACAGAGGCACGTGCCTACAATTCCAGTGGCTTGGAAGGCTGAGGCAGGAGGATCTCGAGTTCAAAGATAGCCTAAGCAAAAGCTAGAGGCTAAGCAACTCAGTGAGACCCTGTCTTTAAATAAAATACAAAACAGGGCTAAGGATGTGGCTCAGTGATTGAGGGCCCCTGAGTTCAATCCCCGGTACTCCCCGCCCCCCCCCCAAAAAAAAAGTCCCTTTTGCCATGTAATATAACATATACATGTCTAGGGATTAGGATGAGGGCATTACTTTCCCCACAACAACTACTTTCAGAAATCATCAAATAAAATGACTGCAGGTTGTGTAACTATCTGGCTCAGGGTGTTTTATTGACTTTCCCACTGCAGAGGGGATTTAGTCTTAAAATTTGTACCTGAAATGCCATGATCCTTGACTCTAGCTTTAATCTCTCTTCCCACACTCACCTCCCAACACTGGCATGGGCTCTAGCCTCATCAAGAAGTTTTACCTTCCTCTCTCTGTTCTGCTTATGATTCAGATTTATCCTGTCCACAAGGCCCTTCCTAACTTTTCCTTCTCATTTCTTGTTTACAGTTCTCCAAGTGAATCTTTATCCATCCATTTATTTTTACACCTATGAATGTTTTATTTTGCATTATTGATGTCAATGTCTTTGCGTATATCTTCTTTCCTCACATTTTTATCTAATGGAGGGAAAAATATATCCTTTAAAAATATCTCTCTGTATATTTATTGTGGAGCTGTGTTATTACTTTGAAGGTTATCTCTAGATTTTTTATGGTATAGACTCTCTAAGTGTCTCTTGAATTAGCAGTATTCTGATTTCTTTTAAACTGGACTTAAATCATGTAGAGTCTCTTGTGTTCCATGATAATGGAAGTGGCTAATTTCCTACTAAGATGTAGTCATTGTGAGTGTGGAATGAATCATGTGGAGTTAACTAGCTGTAAATTCAAGAACATGATATGCTTTCACATTTCATTGGTAATTGGAAATTCATTTGGAAAAGAAATTGATTTTATTTTTCAGGTGTTGAATTTGGTTGTTTTACTTTGTTTTCTCTCAAGTAGGCCTGCCAGTCTGTTGTGTGACTCTCATTGACTTTAATACTGTTTTACAGAATTCCACCAAAGCACCTCTCAAAAGATCAAATGTTGAGAAAGTAACCAATGTGCAGATCCTGGTGTTGTTTGGCATCCTCTTGGTCATGGCCTTGGTGAGCTCAGTGGGGGCCCTGTACTGGAACGGGTCTCATGGTGCAAGTAATTGGTACATCAAAAAGATGGGTAAGTGTTGGGGTGGGTTGCTCATTGAAACAGGACAAAAGCACCTTTGTAAAGCCCCTCCAGACCTGGTCAATCAATGTTTGTTGGCTGTGCCATCCTTCTATTTCCTCTGGCTTATGTCATGAATCGAAGATGGGCACATTTGGGGTTTGTTGATACTCAAATGATTATTTTTACACAATTTAAAAATTTATTTTCTTTGTAGTTGCCCTCAGGATTACAATGTATATCTTGATTTATTGTAATCCATTTTTTTATTAGTACCAACTTAATTTAAGTAAATAAAGAAATGTCACTCCTACTACACCTTCATTTCTTACCTTTCTTGTGCTATTATTATTACAGGTATATGTTAACAATCCAACAATACAATGTTATAATTATTGCTTTATATTACCTTATGTCTCTTAAAGAAGCTAAAAGGAAAAAGAAAAAATAATTTTATGGAGATGTTTTATATTAACTTACTTGCTTACCATTTCTGATACTCTTTTTCTTGTGTATTAGTTATTGGCAGGTTATCATTTCTTCATGAATTTTTATACTTTCATATGTATTATATCTGCATATAACACCAACATTGCAGTTCTATAATGAAATTTTATCATTTTTTTAAATCCAGAAGAAATCATAAGTGTATGTAATTATAATCTTTTAGAAGTACCTATATAGTTTTCTTCACTGTCATTCATTGTTTCTTTATATGGATTTAATTTCTGTCATTTGTTTTGTTTTTCATCCTAGAGAACTTCATTAAATATTTCCTTGAAAGTGGATTGGCAACAAATTACTCCAGTTTTAATTTTAGAATGCCTTACTTTCTTTATTTCTTGAAGGATAGTTTTGCTGGATATAGAATTCTTATAGAATTCCGATTGACATTGTTTTTTTCCCTTTCAGTACTTTGAATGTGACATCTCACTTTCTTCTAGCTTCCATTGAATTGATTAAAAGTCTGTTGTTAACTGTATTTGTGTGTGTGTGTGTGTGTGTGTGTGTGTGTGTGTGATGTGAGTCTCTTTTGTTGCTTTTAAGATTCTGTCTTCTGTTTTCAATAGTTATGTGTTTATTCTGTTGTTTGAACTTTGTTGAGCTTTTTAGATGTGCAGATTAACTTTTTTTCTTTAAATTTGGGAAGTTTTCAGGTATTATTCAATATTGCTCTGTCACATTCTCAGTCCTCTTTCCTTCTCCTGCCATTATGTGTATGTTGGTACCGTTGGTGTGTCCTATAGGTCTCTGAGGCTCTGTTGATTTTTCTTTTTCTTTTGTTTCTCAAATTAGATAATCTGTGTTAACTTCTCCTCACATTTACTTATTATTTCCTCAGCCAACTCAAGTCTACTGTTGAGTTCCACTAGTGATTTTTTTCATTTCATTTATTGTATTTTTTTTCATTCCAGAATATCCATTTGTTTTTTTTTTTTTTAGAAATAACTTCCCTTTGTTAATATTCTTCATTTGAGAAGTTGTTGTAATCATGCTTTTCTTTAATTCTTCAGCTTCCTTTAGTTATTTGAATATATCTTTGCTTGGCCCATTATTTGAAGTCTCCTGAGTTTCTATTGCTCTTTTTTTTCTTCTTTATTTACAAGTTTCATGTATTTTTTTTTGTTTTTGAAAACTGGGTATTTTAGATAAAATATTGTAGAAACTCTGGGTTCTGATTTCCTATTCTTTCCGGGGCCTGTTGTTGCTTGATTTTGTTTAGTTTTTAGTGATGTTTCTGAACTCATTCTGCAAAGTCTTTTTTCTCTTATAGTAGTAGTCACTGGAATTACTGCTCTATTTCATTTCTTTGATTTTAATTTTAAAATTATTTTTAAATATACATTGGATTCGAATACATTCACAGATTTGTGCGACTCTCACTACTACCTAATCTTAGAATATTTTTGTTTCCTCAGAAAGGAAACCCATCCACATTAGGCAGTTCCTTACCTTATTTTAAAGTCTGGATTCTCTTGGGTCACTAGGGCTTGCTGGTCAGCCAATGACTGGTCTTTAAGCCAGGAAGGAGTCTATCCTTTGTTGTTTGGTCTGTGGTTGGTTTAAGGTATATCCCTGACATTTGGGGAGATTAAAGTGCATCCTACTTTCATTTAGGGACTGGTAGCTCATGAGTGCCCTTTTTGGTTTCACATGAATAGACACAGCCTTGCACATGGATGTGACTTTTTACCTTATCAAGGAGAAATGTACTCTTAGGAAGGCTTCTTTGGGTATATGATATTCAATCAATGCTAAGTTTCTAGCTGGTTTCCTGTTTTGTTTGTGGAGATATTTGCTTTCCTTGATTTGTCACTGAGATCTCTGTTGTTTTTGATAATGCCCGGGGCATGGCCTTTTTAACACTCCACTCAAATAACATCCATTCCTTGAGTGTGTTCCTGTTCTGATAGCCAACCCTACTTGGGGTAGCAGCCTGCTCTGCCCTGGGATAAAATTTCTGCAGCATGGAGCTCTGGGTAGGGAAGATGGGCACTGGTAGTCATCCTGGTCTATCCCTACCACCCAACTGGAACAGAATTTAAGCAACATGAATCTATAGCTCTGGGGGTGGAGTGGAAAAGTAGTTTTTTGAGGGTTTATTATTATTCCTATCTTTCAATATATTTAGTTTTTAACTGATTAAAACAATTTAAAAACTTTTCTAATTATTCACAAAGAAAACTCATACACATACACTTTTAACTTTCTGGGAGAACATTTATTGCCACTTTACAAATGTGGGACTTGTGACCGGAATTTCAGTTGTAATTGGATCACAGTCCCTTGGTATTTGTGCTTAAACTTTGGGTTTGGACCAAACTAGCCTCAAATGTGGAGACTGATACTATGTGTGCATATTAATTCCACAGATGTCACAGTCTGGGTACATGTATAGCACTGACACCATATTGGTATACAGGCTTTGTGGGAATTGAATGCCATTTACATTGCTTGAGTAATGTCAAACTCCAGCACTGGCTGCATGATTTACAGTGGAACAATGTTCTTTTTGTCATATTCATAACACTTTCTGTCTTGTTCTTATGATAGCATCTGAGTAACCTTGACAAAAGCCAGCAGACTTAACATTTTCATGGTCACTGTTGGAACTTTGACTTCAGTTCCTAATTGACTCTGCCCTTTCTTATCTCCTTTTGATGATTTTTTTTTTTTTGGTTAAACCTTTTTTTTTTTTTTTTTACATACAGGTGGGGGTTGTATTTTTTATGGAGCTCTTCTATTTCATGACTTTGGACCAGAAGTTTTATGGTTTTTGGAGCTTTGAGTTTGGCTTTTTCCCTGAATACACTCTACTTTTGAACACTATGTATAATAATATTAAACATTTTGAGCTAGTGTTCAAAATCAGAAAATTTCAATTTCTTTAAAAAAATTAAAACAAAATTAATTTTAGGAAATTTTTTAAACTTTAAGAAATGATTTATTAACATGTAATCTTACTGGCAGACAGATATTCATTTCTAAGCAAATGCTATACTTTAAGAGCATCTGTGTGTCGGGACTTAGAGATCCTATTTGGTGAGTCCAAATTCTACATTTGAGGAAGAAAGGCTGTCAACTGGCTGAGTGGTGGTGAGGGTGGTGGGAGGGTGGGTCTGCTGGCCAGCTGGTGACTACTCATTTTATTCTTTCCTAGCACTTCTTTCCATCACAACCACTGTCCAGAACTCCATATCTTAATCAAACCACCATTTGATTTAATTTCTTGGTTCAAAGCTCAGTAACTGTGGTTTAGAGTTGTTACAAATTTCTAATCACTAGTCATCACCTTCTGCCTCTCCATTAAAAACCTGCTGTGTTGGTTCCTGGGGTGCTCCACAACCTCCTCTTTAACAACTGTGTCCTGCTGCGTGGTCACGTGGAGGGGCATGCTGTCTCTGTTCCATCTATCCCCCACCACCTCCTAGGAGAAACCAGCTCATAGTGACAGAAATTGTGTCTGACTTGTCTCTGTACTCACAATTCCTGCAATAGAAGATGCACAACAGCAAGCACTTTTAACTTGGATCTAAATAAACCAATAAGCAACTTTTTTTGTCAACATCTTTTAGAAAAAAATCAAAATAACAAAAATGAAAAGAAACTGAATAGAGACTATAAGTAAAGCTATACAGATTCCTTGGTTTTCTTCCACAGAATCAAGCTCAGATAATTTTGGATACAACCTATTGACGTTCATCATCTTGTACAACAATCTTATTCCCATCAGTCTGCTGGTGACTCTTGAGGTTGTAAAATACACACAAGCCCTTTTTATAAACTGGGTGAGTATTAAGGTGGAGTTTGGGCTATTGGAGAAATGCCAACTGCTGCTTTCTAATTCTCTCTTGAGCCTTTGTCACTTAATTGAGCTCCTAGAAAAGGAAGAATGGAGTCCATTTATGACTAGGTCTGACGGTTAAGTCATCCAAATAGACAGCTGGTAAGGGTTCCCCTGAGAAATGGGGAGGACAGGGTGCCTACCCATTCACGGGGTTGTTGTAAAGACTAAGTGAGACAGTGGAGGCAGGATGCTCAGTGGGTGCTTGGTATCTGGCTGCAACTGGTGTGGATGCTTTTAAAGTCTCATTTAGTGCCAAGGAAATACACTCTTAAGTGTGTTTACTGTAGTGTTCATTATTCACCAAAATTCATTGTGAAAGTAAACTTGAACTTGATTGGAGAGATAGAATTGTACATGTGTATGTGCTGGGAATAGACCCAGGGCCTTGTGAATGCTAAGCATTGCTCTATCACTGAGTGACATCCCCAGCTCTAGAGTAGGGATTTTTTTTTTTTTACTGGATTTTCATGGCCCTTAAGCACAGGACTTCAGCAGCCAATATTTGCAGATTAGACACATTTATGTGTATTTTATTTGGTCTTCACAGGATTCCTGTGAATGAGGGACTAATCAAGCTCAGAATCCTGAAGAGTTGGTCTAGGTCATGAAAAAACTTAAATTTCTGTATATAAAAGACCATATTTTCCTTCTTAAATTCTGAAGTTTCTGTATCTTAACAGTCACTGTTTTCACCTCAAAATTAAAAATCATATTTATATTAAAACAGAAGGGTTTTAAGGTACCTGTTGGTAGCTTCTATGTTAATCTGAATAAAGAATCGTTGGTACATATTTTCCAAAGTGTGCTTTCTCTCTCTTTCTCAGGACATAGATATGTATTATGTAGGAAATGACACTCCTGCAATGGCCAGGACCTCAAACCTTAATGAAGAGCTTGGGCAGGTGAGAACCTCTTTGGGAACTTTGGGTGGTAGTGGTGGCATGAGCAGGAGAGGAGACAAGTGTTAGCAGAACAACTATGGAGAGGTTTTTTTAAGAACAGATACCTGTGACTGTGGCTAGGATGTCTGAAGAGTTCTATGGTATCTGAAAGTATTAACAAATACAAATTTCCCTTGCCTTTGACTTGTTTTTCCTATCTTTTGTCACATAGAAGTTACCTGCAAATAGAATAGTACAAAAACATGGTACAAAAAAATATATAAGAATAAAAATTTGAACATTTTTTTAATTGTTTGTTAGGAGCCAATGACAGGGAAAACAAGAATCATATAATCAGATACTGGGAAACCCCATGAAATGTGTGGGAGCTATTTGAAGGTTATGTGTTCCTCACATGTTTACATTTTGTTTGGAATATTCCAGAGAATCAGTGTCTTTCTTGCCTTCACCTACAACTCTTCTTTCCTCTACTGAGTTGTATTTTGACTTATGTCTGTTGCTTACATTGAAATCACAGCAGTTGAAATTTGAATGCACCACAATTAAAGATTATGATTTCTGGGCTGGGGATATGGCTCAAGCGGTAGCGCGCTCGCCTGGCATGCGTGCGACCCGGGTTCGATCCTCAGCACCACATACCAACAAAGATGTTGTGTCCGCCGAGAACTAAAATAAATAAATAAATAAATAAATATTAAAAAAAAGATTATGATTTCGCTTTATACATTGTAAACTTCCCAACCACCCTATGAGGTGGGTGCTATCATTCTATAGATGAGAAAATGAACACCTTACTCCAGGATCCCTGGATTAGTGAATGGCCTTATGCTTCCCTGCTCAGTGTAGAGTGTCTCCCACATACTTTGTGTCAAACTGGGAAGATGCAGGTGAGATGTCTCAGTCATGAGAAGGCTAGAAAAAGTCTTGAAGCCTTGGTTGGAGGTAGGCGTTCTTTCTCATTCTGCAATGGTTTTTATAGTTTTGTTTGTTTCCAGAAAGTCAAGGCTAATTTGTGGGCAAAATCTTGTGATAGAATAGAAATTTATAGACAAAAATTGAAGGTGTTTCTTTGATAATATATTTCAAATCTACTTAGAGATCATAGCAGATATTTCTACCTTTTCTTGAACTGTTCATATTCACATCCATGCTTTTAAATTCTTAGTAAAACAGGGTGGGTTGTGATTTAAGAGAACATCCCTGGCACAGAGCACAAATCCTCCCCAGCAAGCCAGCGTCTCTGGCTTCCCTCTGCCCACCTGTGTTCCACTCACACAGGTGAGGGATAGTACCCAGAATGGGTCTCTGGGTACTTTTTTTTTCTTTCTTTTTTTGGTATAGGAGATTGAACCCAGGGATGCTTAACCACTTAGATTTATCTCTATCCCTTTTCATTTTGAGACAGAGTCTCGTTAAATTGCCTTGAACTTGCGATCCTCCTGCCTCAGCTTCTCAAGTCCTTGGAATTACAGGTGTAATTGTGCCACTGCAATTGACTCTGGATCTTGAATTTTCACTTTTTAAAAAAATTTGATACCTTATATACAATCAGAGATATGATAAATTGTGGTACAAAGGTGTATTAACAATTGTAATGCAAAAAATAAAATAAATAAATAATAAATAAATAACTATAAATGAATTAAACTTACCAGTAAAGAAACAAACAAACAAAAAATTTTGATATACACTGTTTTATGTTGTTGTTGATGGACCTTGATTTCATTTATTTATATGTGGTGCTGAGAATTGAACCCAGTGCCTCACACATGCTAGGCAAGTGCTCTACCACTGAGGAACAAACCCAGCCCTCACTTTCTTTTTTTTTTTTTTATTGTTGGTCGTTCAAAACATTACACAGTTCTTAATACATCATCTTTCACAGTTTGATTCAAGTGGGTTATGAACTCCCAACTTTACCCCGTATACAGATTGCTGTATCACATCAGTTACCCTTCCATTGATTGACATATTGCTTTTCTAGTGACTGATGTATTCTGCTGTCAGTCCTATTCTCTACTATCCCCCTCCCCTCCCCTCCCCTCCCCTTTTCTCTCTCTACCCCTTCTACTGTAAATCATTTCTTCCATTTGTATTATCTTGTCTTACCCCTCCTTTCCTCTTATATATCATTCTCACTCCCTTTCCCTCCCACCTCTCATCCCTGTTTAATGTAAATCTTCTTCTCAAGCTCTTCGTCTTTACCCTGTCCTTGTTTACTCCCCTTATATCAAAGGGGTCATTTGGTATTTGTTTTTTAACGATTGACTAGCTTCACTTAGCATAATCTGCTCTAATGCCATCCATTTCCCTCCAAATTCTATGATTTTGTCATTCCTTAATGCAGAGTAATACTCCATTGTGTATAAATGCCACATTTTTTTTTATCCATTCATCTATTGAAGGGCATCTAGGTTGGTTCCACAATCTTGCTATCGTGAATTGTGCTGCTATGAACGTCGATGCAGCAGTGTCCCTCTTTTTTTTTTTTAATCTTACCCCATTCTTTCTTTCTACACTAGGTTTGTCATTAGTAAAATCATACTTTGATAAGAATCTCTGTGTTTTTGGTACATATCAGACTACTTTCGTCTTCTTTTTGAACGCGTCTCCAGTTTGCTAGGCAAGAGTCTGTCTTCTATGTTCTCATAACAGTCTTTCCCAATATAGTAATATAAGAGATGTGATTAGTCATGTGGTATCTGTTTCTTTATGGAGACTTTTGAGGCCATTTGAGAATAGAGAATTACCCTGTACAGTGGGTTCTCACATCCACAGGTTCTGTATCCAGGGATGGATCCAACCTCAGACTGAAAATGTAGTTGAGTCTATGATGTCTGTGTCTGTATCTAACATGTACAGACTATTTTTTCTTGTCATTATTCCCTAAACATACAGTATAACAATGATTTATAATAGCATTTAAACTGTATTAAGAAATTCATCTAGAGATGATACAGAAAGGAAGCATACTGGAGGGTGTGCATAGGTTTTATGCAGCATTGTACCATTTTTATAAGGGATATCCCTGAATTTTGGTATCTCTGGGGTTCCTGAAACCATTTTCCTGAGGATGCCAAGGGATGACCGTATGGTCTTTAGTTGCCTTTTTCAGTTTAACACAGTGCTCAGAATAGAATTATTTTTGGGTTCCATAAAGAAGCTCTGAGAAATGGGAGGTTTTAGAGGACTCAAGACACCTAGGGTGATGGGGGGAAAGTTTGCATAGGGAAGAGGTTCTGAGTTGGAACCTTTAGTATCAATTAAGACTCGATAGGGTGAGTGATAGCAAGTCTTAATGATTTCTTATTAGGAAATTTTCACTTTTTAACATTTTGATATTGCTTAATTCTTTTTAAAAAAGGCAGAAGGCAGATCCTATTCTACTTCTATACCTCCAGACTTGATGTATATAAAGCTTATTTGAAACTTACTGGTTATATAAGCTAATGAAATATTAATTACCTGCATTTGGTCAATACGCATTGTATACATATATTGAAGTATCACACTCTACATCCCTGAATATGTACAGCTATGTATTAATAAAAAAAATTAATAATGTTTAAGGAGACAGAAATGCCAGCTACCCCGATTTGATCTCCTTGTACTTTGTGTACATGTATCAAATTACACATTGAACCTCATAAATGTGTACCATTAAAATAATTAATAAATGTTAAAGAACTTACTCATGGATAAAGCATAAATTGCCCTTAGTGTAGTAATTTTATATTTGAACATAACATTTGACTATTTTATGGAGATTAAATAATTTTTCTATACTTGAATGACCTTTGGTTGCTTTAAGAAATAATTCTAAGTTTACTTGTTTGTTTTGTCATTAAGAAAAAGTATCTGGACTAGGGTTTGAATTTCTGGGAGTTATCTAGCATCCAGCAACACTCTTGACCCCTCTATAGAAAACCACTGAGAGATCAGTTTCCGCTGGGGCCATTGTGTTAGTCATCCATCCTCACCAATCCATAACATAATTCCCAGAATGACATGTGGAAGGATGTTGCAATCTCCTGGACAGATCCTTTATTTCATAAGTGTGAAAACTGGGCTAAGAAGGATAAAGTGACTTCTCCATAGTCCACATGACTAGGTAGCACCCCAAATCTACCCTAAACTCTCATGTCTCATAGCCAAGAGTTCTTCCTGTCTTTCCCATCACTAGCCTGAAATAGCCTAACCAGCCTACCACATTTGCATTTGTAATTATATCTTTCACATTAAGTTAATCTTGTGAACATGGCTGCATCTCATAGGTCTTGTTGACCTACTTAGTGATTTCCCTTTTCGTCTTTGTGTTTTGAGAACATCATGTATTTGAGTCTGTAAAACCTTCCATCTTGGAAGGTGATATAATCTAAGATGCATGCTGTCTTCTTCATATGCATCTGAATTGTGATAGTGATTGAGAAACTGCAGATTTGTCTTATGCCTTCTTAATCCAATTGTAGGGTGGACTCTTAAGATCTGCATACTATATTAGGGTGTGGCATCATCTTCAAGAGTGAAATGCATCATTGAGACACTGTGTGGCAGGATTTCAGATTTGTCTTTGTAGTGCCAGAGCTATTATTGAAGCTTCCTTTGCACATTTCTGTGCAGTTTGCCTACAGAATTGGTAACAGAAAAGGTTTGCAGTTGGTCTAAGCATTAAAGCTATTGTTTGTTATTAATTTACTTACTTTAAAGAAATCTACTCATTTAAATTTGATACACCGTGTATGTAGGTATGTCAAATGGGTTCTACTGTCATGTATAACTCTAAAGAACCAATAAAAAAGTTTAATACAGATTTGAAAAGTATGGAAGAGAAGATTTCATTTATTGGTCTTTGCTTCTTATTACTCTCCTGATGTACATTCCTTTTATTCTTTGATTTAGGTAAAATATCTTTTCTCTGATAAAACTGGAACTCTTACATGTAATATCATGAACTTCAAGAAGTGTAGCATTGCTGGAGTAACCTATGGGTAAGTGTGTTTGAAATTTTATTTGTATTCTTCCTACAAAATAAATTTACCTCATCAAGTATCTTGACTTTCTGATATACAAGGAATTTAGATTTGTAGTTATTGTTAAATGTATCTAAAACTTGATGGATCCCAAAGGGAACTTTTAAAATTTAAAATATGATTTACTTCTGTAAATATTTGCTTAGTAATGTTTTGGGAGATCGCTCAGAAAACACACAGAGTCTGAATTGAAACAAATTAGAGAGCTTTATTACCTGGCCAGGGCCTACATGGCCAAGGGCTGCCTTCCACAGAGACTGACTCTCTTAGGGAGAACAGCAATTTCCTGGCCTGTGTCCTGAGGATTTAAGGATGAAAACCACAACTCAGGGACTTTCCTTAGCATCATACAAGCAAGCCAATCACAGAAGCTAAAACAGCAGTTAGCAGAGCCTGAGAGCTCCTAAGCAGAACTAAGGACTCCCTTGGGCAGGTGTATTGTTGGGTTTTAACACATTTAGGGTACAAACGGAACTTAAGAGCCCCTTAAGAAGAACTAGAGACCCTCCAAGGTGGGCGTACAGTTTAGGTTTCAGTACATTTGCAGGGTACAAAGTACACAAAGCACAGCTCTTTTGGGGGACACAGCTTATGTGCTGATTTCCCAGAAATGGCCCTTGCTTAAAGGAATAGTAATGGAGGCACTTTAGCAATGCTTTCTTATGTTGGCCTATAGCAATTTCAACTTAACTATTTCTATCTTGTAACTTAACCTATATTATCTTAACATTTATTTATGACTATTGTTAACCTATGCCCCCCCACTTATCAATTTTATTGTCTATATCTTATCATTAACATCTAAGTCTTATGTCTGTGTACTATATGAGACTATATGCTTATGTTTCTGTATTGTTATTTCTTAAGACTGAAACATGTTTAATTATCTTAACATTAACTCTTGTCTTTATTGTTTTATCTTATAAGTCTATATTTATTAGTCTATAGTTTATGGCTTATCTATAACCTATGACCTATTGATAATCTATAAAATCTCTTATAAAACTATACTGATTAATTTTGACTATAACACTAAGAAATTCAAGGGACTCTGTAAATTTATATATTCAAACTAATGATTATAAATTTCTTGCTCATATTTTGATCTGAATGCCTATCTTTTGATCACAGTGTTGTGACTGCTCTATTTTCCCTCTCTCTGGCAGTCATTTCCCAGAATTGACAAGAGAAGCATCCTCAGATGATTTCTGGTAAGTAGATTCCAGCACTTCTTGATGCTAGAAAAAACTTTAGAATATTTTGATATTAGCATTTATTATATGGACATCTTATATGTAAATAAGTTATATATATATGTTATTTCAAAAATAAAAATTATATGTATGTGTATATAATTATGTACATAATATATATGTGTGTGTGTATATATATATATATTTTTTTTTTCCAAAAGAAAATTAGATTAAGATTTAAACACAAATACCACTTTGAAAGTCCATATTTTCAGACCTTTTAGCAAAAATATCCTGCCGTTGGCCCAGTACTTCCCATTTCCTGGAAGTAGACAGCTTCAACTTTTTGGCTTTTAAAAAATATCCCCATATTCAAAATAATATGTTCATACAAATTTTTAAACTTTTTAGACACTGTTGGACTTGCTAGCATGGAAGAAGTTTCAGCATCTGCTGCTCTGTGTGTGATCTGTCACTTGCTCTCTGGTCTCTCTTTCCTAGCCTTTGGAAGCACTTAGCAATTTCTGTATATCCTTAGCATATACAGAAAGGGTCTATATATCAACCAGGACTAGGCTGATTTTTCTTATTATGTTGAACTAACTAGGCTTGTTTTTTTTAATTATGTTGAACATTTAATGGGTGACTAGAGAACCATTTCTGCATCTGTATTTTCTTTTATTAATTTTTGGGAAGTGTCCTTGCATTGTGTTTCTGTGATAATTTTCTTCCCCCTTGATCTTTCTGTTCCCTTGGGTTTCTTGTTAGGCAGATATTCAGCCTCTGGGTTGATTTCCAATTGTATCATCTCGTCCTCCCATTTTCCTTTTTGTTGTTGTGGTTGTTTTATTTTCTGATTCTTTTTGCCTTCTGTCCTTCATAGTAGTCTTCATGGGCTGTCACTTTCAGTTTTCAAGAGCACTCTTTTGTCCTTGGCCTCGCAGTGTCCATTTCCTCTGCTCTGTTCTCCTATGTCCAAACCCCACCACTTTTTGATTTCTTAATTTTGTTTTGCTTTCTTCAAAAGTCTGGTGATCAGGCTGGGGCTGTAGCTCAGTGGTAAAGCACTTGCCTCACATGTGTGAGGCACTGGGTTCGATCCTCAGCACCACATAAAAATAAATAAAGATACGGTGTGTTCATCTACAACTATATATATATTAAAAAAGCTTGGTGATCATTGGATGTGTGCTCATATATATTTTAGTCTAATTATACAGAATATAAAATTTCCCATTTTCACTATTTTTAAGACCTGTTTTAAGGGGAGTTTTTATTTCAGAACAAAATTAAGAAGGCACAGAGATTTCCCATAACATTCCTGACCTCCCCTGTTAACAAAAGCCCTCCCATCACAGTGGTACATGTATTGCCATTGGTGAACCTATGTTAGCACCTTATAATCACCCAGAGTCTCTGCTTCACATTAGGGTTTACTCTTGGTGCTGTGGGTTTGGACAAATAAATTATGACATGTATTTATCCTTATAGTATCATATAGAGTATTTTCATTGCCCTAAGAATTCTCTGTTCTCTGCCTATTTAGTCCTCTAACCCTCGTCCCCCACAACCTCTGATCTTTTTTATTTTCTCAATAGCTTCACCGTTGCCAGAATGTTAAAGTTGGAACCATACACTACTCAGCCTGTTTAGGTCAACTGAGTACTGTGCGTTTAAGATGCCTTCATGTCTTTCATGGCTTGATAGCACTAATTCATTTTAGAAATGAATAATATTCCAGGTTCAGGGCTTCTCTAAAGTGTGAACTTTTCATTTCTGTCTGGTTGCATTGTCTGACTACATGATGAAGGAAGGCTCTAGCACGCTGAGTTCCTCAAGCAGATTTAGAAGCATCCTGTCTTCTGCCCTCCCTGTACCTTTCAGGAACTCCATGCTGCCATTTTCTCACCCTTTATGGGGTTTTCCTGGGGCTCAGCTTGCATTTTAGGTGATCTCCTTTGCAAATCGTTGGCTACTGTTTGCTGTATTAAAGTCTGATATCTGTTTGTAGTTAAGATGGATATCAACAATGTTGTAGTCTCTTTTTTCATTGTTATTGTCTTAAAGAAAACGTTTCAGGATGGAATGGAGATGAATGAACCTACTGAAACTCTTACATAGACTTCACACACAGCCATCATTCAAGTTTCCTGTCTAGTAATTGTGTGCCTTTTTCTCTCTCCTACACATGAGCTTTGGCTGTAAATGCATACAACACAGTAATTCCTCTTGTTTTGTCTACTTTGAGCAGGCACTCTGGGGTGTTTTCCCTGGTAGAAGTTATTCAGAGATCAACTGAAATGACAGTCATAGTATTGATCCGTGGCTTCCGTTTCTTTTTTTCTAAAGATGTTATTTATCATAACTTATAAAATATTTTGATTTATGGTAACATTAAGGATTTACCATCTTGAGGTTTGAAATAGTACACAGCATTCTAAATCTTTAAAAAGTTGAATATAAATCTATGGGCATTTTAGGGGTGATTTTTCTAGAAGCCAGATTCTTACTAGGCTTGAGGTGTCTTAACAGGAAGTTTTTAATTGAATGGGTATCTTTTGGTTCTCTCTTACAGTCGGATATCCTCAGCGCCTAGTGATTCATGTGACTTTAATGATCCCAGGCTGTTGAAGAATATTGAGGATAACCATGTGAGTCTGCCAGTTTACTTATAAGACATCAAATAGTTATGCTCCACTATTATTTATATTTTATATATGCAGTGTCTTGAAAGTTGCTACTTTGGAGCCTGGAAAGAGATGCAGTCTCAATTTTACTGTGTTAAGACTTGGAGAATGTGATCTTAAACAAACACTTTGTGGTGAACACTGCATAAATTAGTGTAAAGCTGGGGCTGGGGTTGTGGCTCAGTGGTAGAGCCCTTGCCTATTATGTGTGAGGCACTGGGTTCTATCCTCACCACCACATAAAAATAACTAAATAAAATAAAGATGGTGTCCATCTACAACTAAAAAAATATTTTAAAAAATTAGTGTAAAGCTGAATTTAAGTATGTGTTGAAGCAATCACACGAGGATGGAGCCTCCCCACAGGATTCTATAATAGTTCAGATTTCTGTTGCTGCAAGAGAGAGCTGCAGTATTTTTTTCTTCACAGCTGTGCATCTAAGAAAATATATAATTATATATTTTCTAGGATACTTTAGGAAACAAAGGTAAGAAATTATAACAGATAGTATTTATAACATTCTACTCTATGCCAGACACTTGATGATGTATTTCCTTTAGCATTTGAATCTACCCTGAGAAGGGGACAAGGAAGTCACATGGGAAGAATTAGCCAAGAGTTACCCAGCAGATAAACATAGAAGTGAGCTTTAGAACCTAAATCTGTTTGGGAATGTTCATTTGTTTTTTTATTTAAGATCTGGGTTCTTACTGTTTCCCAGGCCTCCAACTCCAGGGCTGAAGTGATCCTCTTGCCTCAGCATCCCTAGTAGTTGGGACTACATACGTCTGCCACCACACTGGGTTCATGTTCAGTTCTTAACTAAGATATCACAGTACCTTCAGCTATTGTAGCTAACCAGGATTAACTGTAGGATCATATCAATTTATTTTTGTTTTTAAGGGTACTTAAAAAAATTTTTGGACTTAAAAAAATATTCAATGATCAAAGCATTTTGGTGAACTGGGAAGGAATCCATGGAAGGGTGATGTGGAAGGTTAGGAAACTTGCTGCCGGTCTGGTTTCACAGGGTTTGTTTCTCAGCATTAATTAACAGATAAAAAAGGTAGCAGAGGGCAAGAGGGTACTGAGTACCTCAAAATCCCAGTGTCAGCTTAAGTGAGAGAACCATTTATTTATCCATCGATTTAGCAGATAGTTTGAAGGCCTCATCTACATTAAATACCTTGCTCTGGGTACTAGGGGAAGAGATGAATACAAAATACTCAAGCAATCCTTGTTAACCAGTGAAAAAGACACATAACACGTTGAGAGTCATCGTCACTTTTTCGGAACAGGTACGATGCGACTCCTGAGCAAGTGGTTGTTTCGTGTAGGTGGAGGAGTCTCTCCCTTTTTGGTGGACTTTTTTGCTGAGGTGTGGATGTAGTGCTCCCCCACCTGTTCCATGTGTCATTTTCACTGACCCAGTGTGGGCTGTCATGAAACTTAGAGGCTGGCATGAAACTCATCTGGAGAGGAGATCTTCTGCATGCTGCTGAGATTCTAATTCTTGACATCCTTCTAGATTTAATTTATGAGTCACACAGTTGTTGTCTCTAAATCTAGCCCCATGTGAGTGTGTGGTGGGCTTCTAAGGGGTCTGACAGTTCCTCACCATTTTGTCCTGTGCCTGTTCCCTGTGGATGTTTGAATGCAGACCTAGCACAAAGAGGGTCTCTACTATTCTCTCCTGTAACCACCACCACTTACTGAGTTCTCCTCCAGGGCCATTGTCACTTCCTTCTCCTCTTATCCTAACCCTTCTGTGTTAGTCAGCTTTCTGTTACTACAACAAATAGCTAGGATAAATCAAGCTAAAAAGAATAGAGGTTTATTTTGGAGAGTTTTGAAGGTTTCAGTCCATGATTAATTGGCCCTGTTGCTTTGGACCTGGGAGCTGCAGATCATGACAAGAGCTTATGCCAGAGGAGGCCTGTCCAACTCATGACCAGAAATGAGAGAGAGGAAGAAGTAGCTGCTAAGGTACTAATATTCCCTTCAAGGGCACACTCACAGTGATAAAATGTCCCCCCAATAGGTCCCACCTCTTAAAAGTTTCCACCACTTTCTAATAGCACCAACCTGAGGACCAAACCTGTAATACAGAGGTTCTTTTGGGGACATTCCAGATCAGAACTGTAGGAACTCCTGAGCCAAATTTCCTTTTATTCTAATGGAAAGGTCAGTGAGAGAGGGTAGATGCAGCCCTCATGTCCTTGATATGAAGACATTATCATGAGCATTGAAACACAGGGACAGTTAAGGGTTTTTAAATAATCTGTATGCTTATAATTCAGTAAAAGAATTGTGAGGTCATTTATTTAGGAATTTATTTTCTATTTTCTAATAAAAGCCTACTGGCCTGTGTTAGCATTATTCTGCTTTTTTAGATCTTTGAAAACTTCCGAGGTCTTCATCAGTGGTACTACATCCCTGAAGCTGTTTGATGTTTATCATCCACCTTCTCTATAAATGATGGAGACCATAGCTCAATATTTGTCTTTAGGAAGGTATGGGATAGGATTCAGTACACTCAATGGATGTTTTTTCAGCCGTTTTAATACAGGACCTATGGGTCACTTAATTTTGCCATAATATGGTTGCGAAGAGAAAATAAGCATTTGTGAATTTTCTGCTATGGATACCTCACATTTCTTTTATGTTGTTTTAGGATCATTGATTAAAACTAAAATATTTGGCCCAAGAAAGTCCTTTTGTTTCCTCACAAGAGAGAACTTTTCTATTTTGAAGTTTTCATTTTTCCTGGGCCATCCTGTCTGACTTTCTGGGTCCTTCAGGACTGTTTCAAGCTTTGTGTGGGCTGATGGCCGGGATGGGATTTGACTCTTAGAGAATCAACCTATGGGAAATTTCAAAAGACGGTTCATGTAATTCCTTAAGTGCTTTGCTAACTAGTTTCTTCTGTTTGTGGGAGACACTCCCAACAATGGGCAGAGGAAGAGTACCCCAACTTTCTTTTGACACAAAAAATCATTTGTATCTATATATTATTTGTAGATCCAATTGGGCATGCAAAGAATTTTAGAATGTAAAATTTCAAGCTATTTGTAAGTTCATCAAATAGAAGATACTCAGTTCTAAATGCCTGGCATTTTGTGCATATTAAAAACTGTTAACCAAAGGACAGATATGATAGGGTTTCATTTATGAGGTATATAGGATAGGCAAATTCACAGAGGCAGGGAACAGGAGAGAGGTTACTAGGGGGTGGGAGAAAGAGAGAACAGAGAGTTAAGATTTAATGGCTACAGAGTTCTTGTTGGGGATGGTTAAAAATGGATCATGGTGTGGGTACATGGAATTGTGAATGCACACTTAAAATGGTATTTACACGTGTATTTTATCACAATGGAAACCCTTTAGATAAATAAATAAATAAGTGTACGTATATATGCATGCATACGTGGATATTTGTAATAAACCACTAATTCTTCAAAGTTATAAAAAAGATTTTTCTTTGTGGAAGTTACAGGAAAAAAATCTTTATTTTTAAACATGGAGCACTTGTCTGAAATACTTTACAGACGTTTTTTCTATAGACTTCAGATTGATTTTGTCTCTTTAATACATTGTAGAATACTAGGTTAGGTAGAAAAGTAAAGGTATACTAATTTTGTCTCAGAATTTTTTGTTTTGTAAAAATCTTCATGAATTTTGCATGGCACATCACTCAAGGTGGAAACTTGATTTGTTGTTGTTAGGATTATTATTATGCTGTAGTGCTGGGGTGTCAAGTGCGATAGGCAAGTGCTCTACCACTGAGCTACACCTGTAGCCCAAGACTCATATTGATAAAACTCAGAAAGTATTTCACTATTAGGCTTATTTATTTGCTAGTAAGTCAGTGATCCTCTTTTTCTCTTTGTGGGACAAGGTTGTGTGCAGCGCTGGATGAGTCTCAGATGTGGGGAGACAATCTTGAAGTCTATTTCTCAAATTGAAGTGCTTTTGGGAGAAATTTCTTATCATTTTTTGCAGTGTTGGCCTTAAGGGATTTGTAAATTATCTAATCTCACTTATCTGACTTCCCTCAACTATAATTTAATGTGAATTTTCTTTTCATGTAGGCTGATAAGAAGCAGCAATGTGAATAGTTGTGATTTCCTTCCACAAACTTGCCCTTAAGTTATAATAAAAGGTCAGAGAAGAAATGAAAAACATTTTTTTTTGTGGCAGTCATCATCCATTTATGACTTAAAAAACCAACCTCCATGAAAAACAAGGAAGCAGCTTAAATGTAAAAACAAACCTATCTCAGATGTATAGCCAGTGGCCTATAAATTAAAAGGGTCGCACTTGAAGATCTGGGCATGAAAATAACCTCAGTTAATGGAAGCTTGTTACCACCACTGCCTTTGAACATCATTCTTGAAGTGTTAGCTCATGCCAACAGTGGGGAACTGGGCAGGCGAATGTGTTGGAAGGAAAAGGGAAATCGTGTGATTTGTGGATGATAAAATTGTTTGCCTTGAAATCCCGGAGAGTGAACTAAAACTCAGCTAGTAAGAACTCAGTTACAATTGGAGATTAAATTAATTTACTAAAATCAATGTGTTTATTTACATCTCAATAATAAACTACTGTGAAAATATAGGGAAGTCAGATTCCATTCATAATATGAAATGCCTTAAATGGATATTAAAAGGAAAATTCCTTATACCAGTGAAATTTAGTAGTGTCTATTCAAGCAGAGGAAATACGACACAACAAAGCAAATGAGTGACTCCAGAGTCAGGCAGCACCCAGAACCAGAGGTTCTGAGAAATCCACCTACCACTGTGATCTGACAGCACTTATACAAAAATAGAAGTGTGTCATCAAAAACAAGTGAATTGGCTAAGCTTAATCAACTAGATAGATGCAGCTTGGCTGGTTACAGTTTAATTAGTTAATTGGCTATAGGATGTCCGGCAACCAACCACAGCTCAGTTACTGAGATTAAATTTGTTGTTGGGTTTGTCTGTTGGTGCTTATTACAGTTGCCCTGTTCAAATCCATCCCCCATTCTGACTTTATTGAAAACAATGCTTTGTATACAGTAGTCACTCAAGTATTTTTTGAGTAGACCAAAAATTTAATAAGATACATGCCAGGTCCTGTGTTTAGAGGATTTAGATGCTTTTAATGAGTAGGAATACATAATGTATTCTTAGATGGGAAAGACTCTATTAAGGTATCATTTTCCTTATGATTATAAATGTGTGCAATCCCAATTTAACTTACATTTTTTTTCTTCTCAAGGAGGATGAGAGAAATCGATTTTTTAATGAGTGAAGGTTGCACTGCCCTATAAGTGTTGAAATTATGTAGTTAAAAGATCAGACATGAGGGCCTTGGGTTCCATCCCCAACACCAACGCCACACACCTACATACTGTAGGACAGATGCCAGCACAGGAGGATGGAAAGACAAGGAATGCACTTGTTTGGGTGGTTCCATGTGTATTGGGAGTGACTTTCCTTTCCTGGGCACACTTCTGTGAGGAAGGCCCAGAGGACAGCCCCACTTGTCCCGGGACCTTAACGCAAGTGGGGAGAAGCCCATGAGCGGCTTGGGAAGTGTGAGATGTGAGTGGGACTGGGGCCCTGGGACTCGCAGGAGCAGCTAGGCTACCTTGATTCTCTTCTGATGACATGGGCTGGCACTGGAGATAGTTGGAGAGACTGAGAGAAGTGACTGCTGCCCAGAGCCTGGGGGTGGGTGGACAGAGGAACCTCCTGAAAGCAGATGGAGGGCTGTGGCAGTGGGATATTGGGAAAGGATGTGCCTTGTTTGAAGAACTAAAGGACATCAGATGACAGTGGCAGGAGGTGGACTAAATGGGGAACAGGTGTCAGGTCCCAGGGGGCCTGGGGTTCAGCTTAGTATCTGGACCCTGTGCTAAAGGGAGAAGGGAATCATTACTGGATTTGAAGCAGGCAGTGACATGCATCCAGCTGCAGCCTACGGTAGCAGTGCTATAACTGACAGGCTAACTTGGCCTCCTGTTTGAAGCCCACAGCCCCTGTTATACAGGAGTTCCTCACCCTGCTGGCTGTTTGCCACACTGTCGTTCCTGAGAAGGACGGAGATGAGATCATCTATCAGGCCTCTTCCCCAGGTGAGTGCTGTGGGTGGATGTGCCCTGCTGGCTCCTGTCCTCGAGATGGGTGTTTGCAATTATCTGTAACAGATGTGGTGATGGAGCTTGCCCCACAGAGACCCTGCTGTTTAGCTCTGGCCTCTTCAACATCTTCCGATCATGACTATTATCATGACTACAGGTGTCACAACTCAAGAGAGCGGGTGCTGAGCTCTCCTGATGGCCATGATACTTTAAGTGCCAGGGAGAATCAGGGCCGTCTTGTATTTCCTAGTAAAAGTTATAGAACTGGACAGAACTCTCAAGAGAGAACAGGGATGGGCTTTTTTTTTGCTCATCTTCCCTTCCTTGTGGATTTTCCAACTACTGAGGAAGGTATATATTGGAGCAGTTACTCTTTGCCCACTTGCTGGTGCTCTGAATCCCACAGAACTACAACTGAAACACGACTTTGCTCAGAGGAGATGTTTAGTCAGTGGAAATATTAGTTATGTCCATTAGAGAGAACTTGATCCAAGAAAAGCAGGAGTGCAAATCACTCTTCTGGTGAATTGGCTTTAGGTCCACATCTTCCCATCCTACGGAAGTGCCCATTTCAGGTCCCTGGTGGTAGCAAGAGTCAGTGCTCCTATTCTGAATCCTTACTACCACGCAGGTAACACCAGGCCTCCCTCACCACGGTGGGTAATTTGAAAAATGGTACTTCCCAGAATTCTGTCATGAAGGATTAGTCAGTATTTCACTGACTTGTTATTGACAGATGAAGCTGCTTTGGTGAAAGGAGCTAAGAAGCTGGGCTTTGTCTTCACGGCCAGAACCCCATACTCAGTCATCATAGAAGCGGTAAGGGACATACCTGTGCATATTCCAGTTCACTGTTTTTAAGATTTTCTACTTGAAATAGTATGTCTGTGGTGAATCTCATGGCTAAGTTTCTGTTTTTTATTTTGATGAAAAATTAGACTTGAAATGCTCAGTTGAAACACTGAAGTGGTTATGTGATTGTATTTGCTTATCCCCTTTATTTTGTATTGCAGCAATTTCCCCCTCTTCTTCTTGAGAAGTTTTTCATGAATTATTTTGAAATTGTTGGCAGGAAAGAACTTCTCAAGCAGTTTCTCTGTTTTCTAGAAGTTGGGAAAATAACTTCAAGGCCTGCCTGTCCTTGAGGCAGACCTTGCACCTCTCTGTAGCCCCAATGCCTGACAGTTCTTGCACAGTGGAGTCCTGAGTCCACTGGGCTCCCCTCTCCGTAGCTGTGAGGGCTGCGAGTTAGAGGTTAACATCTCTTCTATCTATAGGACTATTCCCTGAAGTCAAGGGGTTTATGTATTTTTTCTGATTTGAATTTTCTTTCCTGTGGGTTGCAGAGGGAAATTTAGCAATAGGAAAAGCTTTTTACAAGTTGAGTATCCCTTTTCCAAAATGCTTGGGACCCTAGTGTTTTGGATTTTGGATGTTTCACATTTTGGAATATTTGCATATCATGATAATTTGAAATGGAACCCAAATCTGAACTTGAAATTTATGTTTCATATAGACCTTATTCACACAGCCCGAGGTACTTTTGTATGACACCTGTGTTTTGACTGCAACCTGTCACATGAGGTCAGGTGTGGAATTTTCCATGGGTGATGTCATATTGGTGCTAAAAACATTCTCAATTTTGGAGCCCTTTGGATTTTGGAATTAGGGATGTTTGACATTTATCAAGAGTAATCAGGTATGAACACTCTGAGTGAGCAACAGATAAAAATGATGGTTGGGACTGGCGAGGTGCTATCGACGTTAGTGATGACCAGAGAGAAGGGCTGTGCTACTCTCTGGATGTCACTGCCTTCCCTCGCTTCTGCCCATCCCTCAATTTGGGGGAAATCTCATGGATTGTTATAGTTTTTGGCTTAATGCATCCTTAAGTCCCAAGACTGCCTTAATGCACTTGAAGTTCACTTCCAAATAATATAATAAGTTGATATTGTTCCTGAGTTGGCAGTAGTTCATTTGTCTCTTTTACTTCTAAAATATCAAAATCTACAAAATACCCCACCTTACACAAAGAGATCAGATCATGTTTATTTTTTTTCTTTTAATCCACAGAGGGAATTTAGTTTACAGAAATATGCAGTCATTAAGAGTGAAGTACTGATTGAATACAGAATTTCTTTTTCAGTAACTTAAAATTAAACAAGGTCTTTCCCTTCAGTTTGAGAGAACTTTTAACCGTGATTGTAGTATTTTCTGTTGTATGGGGACTCTTTCACGTTTCTTTCTGCATTGAGAAAACAGGATATGATGTGGTGGACGGACATGGGAAGGGTGAGTGGGAATGGGAATGCAGGTAGAACAGCTGCTTCTGCCTATAGTGTCACAGTGCCAGAGAAGCACGGGCAGTAGAGAGCCTGTGGCATGGTTATCGTAGATGCTGTGTTGGTATTCCTTTGTTGTTGTTATTATTATTTTTATTATTTTAATTTTTGGTACAGAGGATTGAAACTAGGGGTGCTTAACCACTGAGCCATATCCCCAGCCCTTTTTAACTTTTTATTTTGAGACAGGGTCTTACTCAGGGCCTCACTAGGTTGTTGAGGCTGGCCTTGAACTTGCGATCCTTTCGCCTCAGCCTTCTGAACCACTGGGATTACAGGAGTGTGCCACCCCACCTGGCATCCTTTGTTATTTTACTGAGTTTTTTTCCTCTTGTTCTTTTTAGTTATACATGACAGTAGAGTCTATTTTGATATATTTATACAAACATGGAGGATATCTTATTCTAATTAGGACCCCAGTCTTGTGAATGTATACGATGTTCAGATTCACTGTGGCACATTCATATATATATATATATATGTCAGACTAAGGTTGTATTTCTGGGAATAAAAAGACTGCCTGATTAGTTAGGTCTTATAAACAATGATCATCTAAAAAATTCTATTCAACCATTAGTTCTGAGATACTTGTGAGCCACAAACTCTCCAGTTAGCCACCAGGTATTTACACAACATGTCCTTGCTGATCATCACTGTAACAGCTGAGCTCATGGGTGGCATGTGGCAGTGGTTGGTGTTAACAGTGGCGCAGAGGAGGCAGTTCCTGGCAGGGAGACAGGATAGTGGCAGAGGGTGCCTTTGAGAATAGGGATCTGAGAGCATTGGGACAGGTTGAGGGGTCGGGGAGCTGGTGGATTTAGAGGGGTGAGTGAAGACTAATGAAGGTTAGATTAAGGGGGTAATTAGAATATTTTAGGATATAGCAAGACAGGCTGAGAATTGTGGTAGGAAGATGGCGATTACTTAGTCATGGACATGGAAATTTGTATGTTACTTCATTGACCATTTCCCTCAAGCCTAAGAAAAGAGTGTTGCCACTATTCACAAGAAATTCACTCACTTGGTGGCAGAAACTGAGTTCAAACTTAACATCTGTTGGACTCCAAAGGCCACACTGTTTCTACTGTGATATGTTGGGGGAATAGAAGATTAGATGAAAAAATTGAAAATGGCAGTCACAAAATCTGCCCTTTTTTAGATGGAAAAAATTGTGAATTCTAACTTGAAAGAATCCAAAGGAAAAAGGCTATTTGAGCTGGGTGTGGTGGCACATGCCTATAATCAGCTTGGTAGGCTGAGGCAGGAGGATCCCAAGTTCAGAGCCAGCCTTTGCAACTTAGTGAGGCCCTAAGCAAGTCAGCAAGATCCTGTCGCTAAATAAAACATAAGAAATGGCTGGAGATGTGGCTCAGTGGTAAAGTGCCCCTGGGTTGTTCAATCACTAGTACCAAAAAAAAAAAAAAAAAAAAAAAAAAAAGAAGAAGAAAGAAAAAGGGTGTTTGATTAATTCCCTAAAACCAGATACACACTAATAACCCCTTATCTGCAGGCTTAAATCTAAGAACACTGAAATTTTAAAGTTTTTCCTAATTTTTTTTATTGGTTGTTCAAAACATTACAAAGCTCTTGACATATCATATTTCATACATTAGATTCAAGTGGGTTATGAACTCCCATTTTTACCCCAAATACAGATTGCAGAATCACATCAGTTACACATCCACATTTTTACATAATGCCATATTTTCCTAATTTTTGGAAATAGTTGTTTGGCAGCAAAACCTATTCAGAACTGACATGAGCTTATTTAGGGTCTTCACGACTCAGTATTAGTCATACATTTTGTAGCACAGAACAGATGTGTTGTATGATAGGATGCTATCTCAGACCATGCTGAGGATGTTATGGTAAATGATCTAGGCACAGATTTTTATAAATGTGTAAAATCCTGAATTCAAAACTGGCCCCAAGGTGCTGTGCAGCCTGTCTGTTATCTTCAAGACTTAGAAGTGGCTGCACCAAGCCCACTGTGAAGCCCGTGAACTGCAGGATAATGAAGCTTCTTACCAGAAGAGGGAGCTATGACTCTGCCAGATTTCAGAGAAAACAGTGCAGATTGCAAAGGCTTTTTTGCAGGACTAGAGGATAGGGGAGTGTGTGTGTGTGTGTGTGTGTGTGTGTGTGTGTGTGAGAGAGAGAGAGAGAGAGAGAGAGAGAGAGAGAGAGGTAGATAGATTGGGGGACAATTGCTTTGAGATTTTAATACTTTGCAGTTAAGAGCTTTTTTTTTTTTTTCCTGTAGATGGGAGAGGAAAAGACATTTGAAATCCTTCATGTCCTAGAATTTTCCAGGTATGTCTGTCTTTCATACACGTGAAATAAAATACTTTATATATATTTGACAACCTCATCTACGTTTGCATGATTGTATGGTATGCTATTTTAACTCTTTGATGTGGCAAATATACCTCCATGAACCCTCTTCCTCATGGAATCTGTGAGTTTCATTAAAGAAAATGAAGCTGATTTTTTTTTTTGCTTTATTTTTATCCAAAAGAAATGTTATGCTTCCACGTCCTCCTTTTTCTTTAGCTTTCCCAAGCCTGGTATTCTTGCACCAGCAGCTGCAGACATGTCTGCGTGTTTGGAGCAAGTGAAGTTATTTTCATTGGTGTTGCGCAGGTCCCATGAGGTCATACCTCTTGTTTCACTCCAGTACTCCTCCAGAGAGCTCAGAAACTGACAAATGGTGACAGATCAGATTGGATCAGTTCATCCCATCAGAGGCCTGGTCCAGGCAGGACCATTCTTCTGTACATATTCCAAAACTTTCCTCCCCAGGGTAGCTTCTTTAAGACATAGGAATATTTTGTGGATTCTTTTGTTCACCTGGAACATTCACAGTTTGTTATGAGAAACCACATCTTTTTAAAATTGGCGCATTATAATTGTACATAATAGAGGGCTTCATTACTACATACTCATATATGCACACAATACAACAATATAGTTTGGTCAATTTAGTAGCCATATCTTAATGTTTGTTTCTTTCTCACTTTTTAATATTTAACTGTCAATACAAGAGCAAGGTTTTGTTGCTAATCTCCAAAGTGTCTTTTCCTGTTCTTGAAATTGATGGGTTTTTCAATGATCTTTGGTAAATGATTTACAAATTATTTGCCCTGTTTTCTTTATAAGCTATTGGATAAAGTTTGATTTTTTTTATAGAAAATATTTTCCAGGCCTAGTCTTTAGTTTTAGGATGTCTAGCTTGAATACTGGTGGGTCAGATATTGAATATGCAATGGGAGAGATGAAAGGATGGCTCATGATAGTTGTAGTTCATGTAGATGTGTGTGTGGAGTTTGGGGATGTACAGGAAGTCTCTCTAGACATTTTTGTGCCCCTGGAAGTTTCTTGTTGGTAATGGTAAAGCTTTGTGGCTGCGTTAGCTAAGCCGAGCAGTTAATAGTAAGACAAGAGAAAAGAGGGTTAGATGAAAACAGGTAGATAGGGAAGGAGACATGAGGATCTATTTACGAGAGACTACAGGGGAGAAAGAGGAAACAGATCATTTGTGGTTATACTTGTGGTTCTGTTTCTTTTTAATGGACTCATCTTTTTCCTGATGCCACTTAATTGTGTAATACTCCTTTGGAGTAACTGGTGGTAATCTGCTTTATATACTGAGAAACTTAAACACAAATTCGATAACTTTGCCAACAGTGCTCAACTTGTAAGTAGCTGTGAGAGAATATAGATCTAGGTTAGAAAGAGACTGTGGAGATAAAGTCCCAGTTTTTTGGAGCTTAGATTCCAGTGGGAATCACCAAGTGGAAAGGCTGCAGAAATGGGTATCTGGGGCCCAGTTGGGGTGTATTTCAGAGGGATGGAGTGTTAGCAAGGGCTTGGACCAGACTGTACAGGAAGGAGTGTGGTGAGTCTTGTGGGCTTGGAGCCTGGTAGGTTATGAGAGGGTTAGTGGGAGATGAGGCAAGATTGCCAGGGTGGGTAGAGAGAAGAAAGAAGAGGAATTTAGGCAATGGAAGTATTGAAGCTAAGTGAGTGGGGATGGATCATGAGATGAGAGATGTGTAGGGAAGTAGCCAGGCTTCAGTGAGAAGAAGGGAGGGAAAGGGTACTGTAGTGTCAAATCAGGAACATTCTATAAATTTGTAATTTCTTTGCATTTCTCTTAAAAAGAAGACACATTGAGAAGCTTTTGAATTAAGTTGATCTATATTGAACCTTCCACTTGGCTATTTAGTAGGCTTACTTGATATTTTTGAACTGTAAAGTAGAAAAAGAATACTTTTAGAGAGTATTGCCAGAGACAGTTAGATGCACAGGATCCATGATCAAATTCTCCTTTTCTACCTCTCCTTCAAATGGCAGTGCTGGTGAATTTTCTCGGCATGACAGGAAATAGGTTTACATCCATTAGATTTAAATGAAAAGAGCAAGAGATATATAATGCAAGTCCTATTTTGAGGAAAAAGGCATGGAGAAATGGAGCTTGGTCAATTTTAGGGCTGCCAGCTTTTGTTTTGATTGGTGTTCAGTCATAGTACATAGGTCCTATAAAACAGGACAATGAAAATCTTTTTTTTTTTTTTTAATTCTTAACAGTGACAGAAAAAGAATGTCTGTAATCGTCCGAACTCCATCAGGACAACTTCGACTCTACTGTAAAGGGGCTGTAAGTATTGCTGGTAAGGGTCTCAGATAGTGCATACTTGGTGGCCACTTAGTTAGTTGTGGCTTCTCACTACTCTCCTCCTGATTTCTTGATTGCTTGCCCAGAGTTGAAAAACTCTTTTAGGTAAAGAACTTGACATAATAGTAAAAGGTTGCTAAAGCGAATATGCTTCAAGGAGATGTTGCAAAATGGCAAGTGAAAAGCTTGCTTTTAGCAGTGGTTAGTTTCAGAAATAGCAACTCCATGAGTGTACCATGCAAACATTCCATTTCAGTTTCACCACCATCATTTTGTGATTCTCTGAATATCATTTGTGTGATCTGTGAGAATCTTCAAGTACTCTGTTATATATGGGTTTTCTAGCATCTAGTCTTCTTAACCACTGTATTTTATTTTTTATTTATCATAGAGTGCTATGTAGGTACAGGGGCAGTGTCCATATCTGGCCACATTTTTATTGTCCCTTTTGGTCAGGTTCATAGATCAGTTTTTTTGTCCTGTCTCCCTTCCAGTAACCAGACTCAAAGGTGTTATCTCTAAGGAAAGATGTTATTGCTTTTGAGTTTTATTTGTAAAACTACACCCTGATAAATGGTGGTCTTGTGGGTTGTGGGAAAGAATTGTTATGCTTATTTTTTAAAAACTATGTTGAGAATATGATCCTATACTAGGATTAGTGGTCTGTTGAAAATTTTTTATTTTTTATTTTTTTTTACCAACTGTGGGGCAAAAGGTGATTTTTATTTAAGTACACTATAACTAGAGCTCTTTAAGGATGAGTAATGCATGGTACTTCTGAAGGCATTATATCTGGAACCATAAAAGAATTCTGCTTTTATAGAGCAGCAATTTAAGTTAAGGTCTTTGAGACTATGTCCTTACAAAATATTCATTTTGGCTGTGGGGAGTTACTGGAGATTGAACCCAGAGTGCTCTACCAGTACACCTCTAGCCCTTTTTATTTATTTATTTATTTTGAGACAGGGTCTCACTAAATTACATGAGGATGACTGAACTTTCAATCTTCCTGCCTCATCCATCTAAGTCACTGATATTACAGGGCATGTTCCTGGCTATATGATATTCTTTTTAAACTTTGTTTATTTTTTTGCTGTTGTATTCTTAGTACCCCAGCAAGTTCTTGATCAATATGAGTTGGCAGGGAGGAAGGTATAAATACACAATAGTGTAAATATGAAAATGCTGCAAAGATTCATTTTCTTTTTATAGAATTTAATTCCTCCAAAACACTCCCCAAACCAAACTAGCTTTAAAATAATGCATGCTGAGATTATATGCAATGAATAACATAGCTGATGGATTATTATGGTATTCAGGACAGATGAGCTATGTCCAACCACGTGTTTCTCAGAACTGGGTTTGGTGCTTTGTGGGTTGTGCTTTCCCTGGTTAGGAGCATCTCTGTTGTCAGCAAGCAAGGTTGTACTTGGGTAACAGGCTGTGCATCGTTTCCATTTTATAAAGGTATTACAGGCTGAGCGTCCCTCATCTGAAAACCCTGAATCGAAAATACTCTAATATCTAAAACTTTTTGAGCACTGATATGACACAAGTGGAAAATACCACACCTGACCTCATATCATGAATCACAGACAAAACACAGGCACAGTAAAAGTGCTGTATACCATTACCTTCAGGCTGTATGCGTAAGGTGTGTGTGTGTGGACACAAGTAAATTTCATCTTTAGAGTTGGGTCTCTTCCCTGAGATATCTCATGTATACACAAATATTCCAAACTCCGAAATTCAAAATACTTCCAGTCTCAAGCCTTTGGGATCTTAATCTATATACACTTTAGGATGTGAGTTTTGCAGATGTGTGTAAAAGTAGGTACTCTTATATCCTTGATTAGTCTCCTGGCTCCTAGGGTCCTCCATAATGTATTTTTGTTTGACTTTGAAGATGCATAACAGATTTTGTTTTTTTGGACACATCCATACCCAACATTTTCCCCCAAAGCTCATGCCCAAGCCCGGCCAAGAACTTTATTCTTACTTGCCCACTCAAGTATTTTTGTGCACATTAGATAAACACTAATAAAACCCAGCCAGTTTAGCATGTTGACTGAAAGACTTCCTGAACAAGAGTTTGCCAGTCACAATGAATGTTTCCCTGTTTTATAGGATAATGTCATTTTTGAAAGACTTTCAGAAGACTCAGAATACATGGAAGAAACATTATGCCATCTGGAATATTTTGCCACAGAAGGTAAGCGAAATTTGGAAATGTTATTTTTTTACCACTGAAGCAGTACTCTAAAGCATTCCTGGCTGATGCTTGGATAAGCAGTCATATTCCAAACAGATGTCTTTTTTTGAGCAGTACTTGGGTTGCTTTACAGGAGGAGATTCTTCAGGTGCCTACCCCTGCCCCTCTCATCTCCACATTCTGTGCCTATGGCAGCAAACAAATAAGCGGCAAAGTCCAAATTCAGTTCTCTGCCAATTCGTAACTAGCAGTACAGCAGGAGACACGGGCTAACTCACCTGTAAGATGGTCTTGTAGTTAGTCCCTTTTGAGGAAAACTCATGTGCTTCTTTCTCTGTCCTCTTCTTATACTTATGGCACTGGCTTATCCACAACTTCATGGAATAATTCACTGAAAACTTTTTTTTTTTTTTAAGTTTTGAGATGAGACAGGGTCTTGCTAAGTTGCTGAGACTGGCCTCAAACTTGCAATTCTCCTGCCTCAGCCTCCCAAGTCTCTGGGCTTATAGACATATGCCACACACCTGGCACAAAGTTAGAAATGATTCTATAACCAACACACATACTGCAACCTAGGATAGTTATTTTAGCCAGTTTCCTGCCTCTTTGCTTGCTGATTCTTGCCTCTGGAACATGGATCATATACAGCTCCTGTGTCCCTCTGCTGTGGATAATTCATTCTTATTACTTCTTATGCACTCAAACTTATAGAATAGATGGTTTGCATTACAGTATAATAAGGTAGTTTTTAAATTTCTCTTTGAAGATGTGCAGATTTTTAAATTTGATTGGTTGTAAAATAAGCTGGTTTCTTTTATTTAGGAGGGCATGCTTATGTAAAAGGAAGTCACATGATGTCCCCTAGCAGGTAAAAGACCCTTCTTGAGGTCTTCACCAGCGGCTGTTTTGCAGGCTTGCGGACTCTCTGTGTGGCCTATGCTGATCTCTCAGAGGATGATTATGCAGAGTGGCTGGAAGTCTATAAGGAAGCAAGCATCATATTGAAAGACAGAGCTCAGCGATTAGAAGAGTGTTACGAGATCATTGAAAAGGTAACCACATAGAGAACGGTCTTCGTTTACCCAATGAAGGACTTAACTACTGTTGAACAGAGTCTTTGAAGCAGGAATCTTTTGCTATATTGTGATTTTTTTTTCTTGTGTTTTAACCAACTGACAGCTTTTCATACTTTTTTCATTTAAGAAGCAAAAGTAGCTTTAGTTTTCATGGGTTATCTCAAAGGCCTAGCCACCTCAGCTAAGTGTTAGTGATATCTTTAGAAATACCAGGTCAAAAATAGCATTAATGACTTTCTGGGTTTGCCTAACATGAGGTTTAATGGATTAGCTCAACCTCTTGAGTTACATGAGCAATCACAATGCTCTCTAGGCTGGTTATATGTTGTAAATGTGAACACATTTCACACTTCTTTGTTTTAATAACATTTATACATTATTGTTTCTACTTCATGCTCATGACTTTAATTTTTTGTTGTTGCTGGGTTTTTTTTCAGTTTATCCCAAAATATTAGATAATTTTTCTACTTATTTGGATTCACTTGGGAGCTAAGTTTCAACATTTTCTATGTTTGAGCAACCATTTGGGCCATCCATTTTCCAGTTTCTATGGCTTCGAAGGCATCACCTCCACTTTTTTCGATCCTTTGTTGGTTTTAAAATTTTCCTTTGCTGTTTTATACTCAGCTTTTGAGTTTTATATTAAGCTGTTTATATTAAATTATTTTGTGGAATCTGAGTAGGACTAGAACTGAATTCAAGTGTTCATTTGCCCTGGTGTACTGGTACAAAAAATGAACAAAATCTGAGCTGAATTAACTTTAACAAGGTTTACCAGAGCAGGAAAGAGTTCTAGCACAGAGCAGCACTACCGGAAGAGGATGGTTCAAAATGGACTACTCCATCCTATGTGTAGGTTGTATTTATTGCCAGAGGAAAGGAAATGACATACAGGATCAATCTGAGTGGCAGCATTTGGCAGTTGTCATTTGCTTTATATGGTCATGTTTCAGCCCCTGAATGACTGGAGGTTCACCTTCTGTGATTGGCCGAGACTCAGTTGCTTGGTTATTAGGGTAATTTGCCTTTCATTATGTATTAAGGCTGCATTAGGCCAAGCTTTATCTAATCCAAACATGGAGAGAAGTTTAGGGCAAACATAATTTAATACTAGAAATATCTAAAATTACTTTTAGAATCAGAAAAAGTGATTAAATAGGTTTCATGCCTCTATGGTATCAAACGTGGTAGATGTTCATGAGGTAGTAGACTTTCCATAGTCTGGTTGAGGTGCTATATTATGGAGAGACTCACCAGAGGCAAGTAAGTAGTGAACAATAGATCACACAACCACACTCATACTCAGCGGGAGTTGATTCTTGAAGAGGACTATAGGGGACAGCAATCTTAAGATACTTTGATATTTTCTTCTCTAGCTGTTGAATTCTTAGTATTATAGGTTTCTTATTCTGGCACTTCCAACAAAGTATGCCATTTAGAATGGGTTCATCTCACATATTAAATAAAACATGACACTTGGCACAGGAGCAGAGTGAGAATAGAGAACTTGTGAACCGTTAGTGTCTTCAGGGTGACTCATCAAAGTGTGTGCTTTGATGATTTCTTTTATAATGCCTATGTGCCGAGAAGTAAATGATAAGTGCTGGTTGCCTGTGTTGGAAATACCCCACACGTAAATATATCAGTGATCTACAAATATGGGTTTAGTGTAAAGGATTTAAGTAACTGTCTCTGAACATTTAGGTTGTCTTTCTTTTGGCAGAGTTTTTGTCACTAATGTTGCTCTTAAGCATGAAATAGTCTTTAATGAAGATGTTTTTTCAACCTTAGGATTTACTGTTACTTGGAGCCACAGCCATAGAAGATCGTCTTCAGGCCGGAGTTCCAGAGACCATAGCAACTCTGTTGAAGGCAGATATTAAGATATGGGTATTGACCGGAGACAAACAAGAAACTGCAATTAATATAGGTAATCAATTTAAAAAATAATTTTCCAATGCTGGTTTTTGGATTGTTTTTTAGTGTTTTATAGACATGTCTAAGTGTTTCTTTAATGCATTGATGGGTGATTTTTTAAAATAGTTTTTAAAAATATTTATTTTTTTAGTTGTAGTTGGACACAATACCTTTATTCCACTCATTTTTTTTTATGTGGTGCTGGGGATCCAGCCCAGGGCCCTGCACGTGTGAGGTGAGTGCTCTACTGTTGAGCCAAAATCCCAGCCCCAGTGGATGATGTTTTCTAGAACTCTTTGTTGGCTGGGCCAGGGAAAATTTACCCAAATCCAATGTTTTTAGGTGCACTATCTACTTATTATAAGCATTTAAACTATCATAGCTTTCTGAAAAAATTAAACATATAGTTGAAAACTTTGAATTTCTTATTTCTTTCTTCACATAACTTTAGACTGAGAGAGGTGGGTGTGGTGGTGCATGCCTGTAATTCCAGTGACTCAGGCTAAGACAGGAGGACCTCAACTTAGCCCCTGTCTCAAAATAAAAAATTAAGAGGGTTGTGGATGTAACTCAGTGGTAGAGTACCTCTCCCTGGGTTCCATCCCTAGCTCCTTAAAAAAGACAAAAACAAAAACACTAAGAGAACATGTTTTCACTAGATTTAAATATACATTATTTTTATAATTATGACCAATTTTAAAGGTTTTAACAATCATTGGGTTTTTCTGGGTGCATTACGACTTTCTTTCCCCCATTTTGACTGGCATCCTCCTTGCTTGGTGAGCATCACAGAGAAGAAAGTCGAAGACAGGTGGGTTAAGTCAGAATAACTTTGTTAAAGAAGCACATTTTATTTTTTATTTATTTATTTATTTTTGTATTGCCTAATTTTTTTTATTTTTTTTAATTTATTTATTTTTATTGGTTGTTCACAACATTACAAAGCTCTTGACATATCATATTTCATACATTAGATTGAAGTGGGTTATGAACTCCCAATTTTACCCCAAATGCAGATTGCAGAATCACGTCGGTTATATATCCACAATTTTACATAATGCCCAATTAGTAATTGTTGTATTCTGCTACCTTTCCTATCCCGTACTATCCCCCCTCCCCTCCCTTCCCTTCTTCTCTCTCTACCCCATCTACTGTAATTCATTACTCTCCTTGTTTATTTTCCCATTCCCCTCACAACCTCTTATATGTAATTTTGTATAGCAATGAGGGTCTCCCTTCATTTCCATGCAATTTCCCTTTTCTCTCCCTTTCCCTCCCATCTCATGACTCTGTTAAATGTTAGTCTTTTCTTCCTGCTCTTCCTCCTTGCTCTGTTCATAGTTGCTCTCATTATATCAAAGAAGACATTTGGTATTTGTTTTTTAGGGATTGACTAGCTTCACTAAGCATAATCTGCTCTAGTGCCGTCCATTTCCCTGCAAATTCTATGATTTTGTCATTTTTTATTGCTGCATAGTACTCCATTGTGTATAGATGCCACATTTTTTTTATCCATTCATCTATTGAAGGGCATCTGGGTTGGTTCCACAGTCTAGCTATTGTGAAGTGTGCTGCTATGAACATCGATATGGCAGCATCCCTGTAGCATGCTCTTTTAAGGTCTTCAGGGAATAGTCCGAAAAGGGCAATAGCAGGGTCAAATGGTGTTCCATTCCCAGCTTTCCCAGGAATCTCCAAACTGCTTTCCAAATTGGCCGCACCAATTTGCAGTCCCAAAGATAGTGAAGACATCCATAAATTTCTTAAGTCATATGATTTGCCCAGACTGAGTCAGGAGGATACACACAATTTGAACAGACCAATATCAATGGATGAAATTGAAGAAGCCATCAAAAGACTACCAACCAAGAAAAGCCCAGGACCAGATGGGTACACAGCGGAGTTTTACAAAACCTTTAAAGAAGAATTAATACCAATACTTTTCAAGAAGCACATTTTAAATTTGAAAAGAAGTTGAAGGGCTGGGGATGTGGCTCAAGCGGTAGCGCGCTCACCTGGCATGCGTGCGGCCCGGGTTCGATCCTCAGCACCACATACCAACAAAGATGTTGTGTCCATCGATAACTAAAAAATAAATATTAAAATTCTCTCTCTCTCTCTCTTCTCTCTCTCTCCTCTCTCTTTAAAAAAAAAGAAGTTGAAGCTACTAGTTTCTTAAAAATTTAATTTTGATTATGTGAAATACATTTATCTGATTATTTGGCCACGTTATGGTATAATAAGACCTGGTACGTATGTGATAAAAGAAATACATAATGATTATGTAACTTACACTGTCTTTATGGAAACAAATTGTATGTCATTGCTTAGTTTAGGAAAAAAAATTACTGAAACCTGTGAATGTATATAACTGTAGTCCTTTACAGAGTAGTCTCCTTGGAATATTATCAACTTAATCCAGTGGTGACTCTTTCCTTAAAACCTGCTCTTTAGAATCAGAGTTCTCTCTCTCTCTCTCTCTCATAACCTTGTTTGTACACAATACCTGCCCTCTGGGATGAGTTTCATTTTTTTGTTTGTTTAAATAGATGTGTCATTTAATCATATCTTATGAAGGATCTTGCTAATAAAATGCAATTTAGGTTAGTAGACAACTGAAGTTAAGGTCACAAGAGAGTGATACGAAATTTATAAACAATCTTGGAAGCATCAGCTATAGACTTTATTCATGGGTTTGTGCTGGTTGTCATTCAAATGCATAATTTTGGACAAGAGCATGATAGTATTTCAGTAAAGACCCATTGTTGCTACTAGAAAATACTTATTTGATGATGTGTCAGTAGCATTTTCATAAGTGAAGGATGATGTGTTTTCTTTTTGGCGTCTGTCTTTCTGAATGTGTATATAGATCTACTCTTCATGTATTATTTCCCACATAAATTTGTCCTAAAACATCTGCTATTGATCCATGGACCCTGTTCATATACGACATGTCAAGTTGACTGCTGCCCTGAAATACTTATGCTTTCTGTCTTCTTAGAGTGATATGAAAATGGTGGGTGTATTCTCTCAAGTTAAAATTGAGCAATAGTGATAAATTTTCTTAATTTCTCAGATCTTTATTTTTTGTGCTTGGTCAATGAACTGTATTTTCCCTTAGCTTCAGAGTTAAATTCCTTAAGCACTTCATTGTGTATGCTGTGAGAAGCTGGTGGTGCACCTGTCAGCCACTCTGCCCTTGGGGAGCACATGGGTCCTTTCCTTGCTTTGTTTTATTACACTCCAGCTTGTTTGGGTCTAGCTCAGTTTGGAATAAACATGATGAAAACAAAGGACTGAAAATCAGCCAGAAAGTAAAACTGGATTATTACTTGAAAAAAAAATTTTGCTTTTGCATGATGAGCATCTCTGAGCTTTATGAGATAATCAGTACCCATTCAAACAACCTTTTAAAAGTAATAATTATTATTTTGTACTTTACAAAGAAGTAACATGTGTAACTGTTGGTATAAGAAGCAGTCACATTCATTAGATATTTCTTAATGGATTTTTCTTGGTGAATATTCCTCTAGGCCACTAGAAGACAAAGTCTTCTACTTACAAGCAGATGACTTTGCCAAAGTCTTGTTTATCCTGGGAGTTTTCTGTGCTTGTGTTTTATCTAGTGTATCAGTCACATTCAAACTCTTCTTTGAAGTTACTCAGTATGTTTCTAACAGCTAGGGAATTAGTGTTCTTTGAAAGAGCCATGTCTGAATTATTCTTTATTCCACCTTCAAGACTCAAGTTTGTAACCCAAGGTGATGTTGAGGGATTAAGTGTCTTTTCTCATTTAGGATATCTGTTGAACCTACAAATGATGCAGAAGGCTCAAGAAAGTATGTACGTCTAGACGTTTCATTAGACTATCAGTGTCATACCACAGGTGGCAGCTATCAGCAGCATGAGGTCATGCTCCGGATGGAGGATGGGATTTAAGCCTGTTTTTTAGTCATATAGACCTTCAGCCTTTAGTAGTATGAATCATATTGATCCGTTTCCCATAACATTGCACATTTTAGTGCATCGAATGTGCCTTTTAGAGTGTCCATAAGGTAGTTGAGAAGAACAAGTATCTGACACTTCTATTTCCAGAACAACTTAGGGAAAGAGAGCAAAGTGGAAGAGTGGCTAGTGCTGTTCATGCTGCCTCAGGAGTTTCTGAAAACTCTCTGTTTTGTCTTTACATGTGAACAGTTACAGCTCACAGAAACAATTCAGTTTGTCAAGGTTATACTTTACTTAAAAACCAAACTAGTACATATTGAGCATCTCTTATCCCAAATGCTTGGAACCAGCAGTGTTTCAGATTTTTCTTTTTTCTTCTTCAAATTTTCGAATATTTGCATAGATGTTACCAGTTGAGGATCCTCAATCCAAAAATTAGACATCCAAAGTGCTCTAGAATCTGAACCTGATTAGATTTTGGAGATTTCAGATTTCAAAGTTTTAGAATAAGGTTGCCCAACCTTTACTAGATCTCAGGACTCATGATTTCTGGTGCAGGACTTATTTAAAGGGCTTCATACAGCTTTTGCAAAAACTGTTTTCTGAACTTTGACATACTTTATTTCATTCATTTTCACGTGCACATTGTTTTTACATTCTAGTGTCTCTGAAATTGGGATGTTTTGTGATTGTTGATGCTTAACCTTTTAATTGGCAGCATTTTCTTAGCAGCACATGTCCTAGAAGTTCATCTTTAGAACTGGTGATACTTGTATAATAAGACAAGTTTGGTGTTTGGGGTTGTTGGCCTTCTTTAGCATGCTTGTGTGTATAAATCGTAGTTTGAGAAGTCATTTTTAAAATGTAACTTTTCCTTTGTACCTTGAAAATAAATATGATTAGTCCAATTAAGTTCCAGGATATTTGTGTCCCTAATGAGCCAATGAGTTTTATGTAGATAGACTGTCAGGCGACTATCATCTTGCCTGTGGGTTTTACTATTTGAAACTGGCGTGTCGCCAGAATCCTGCAGGGCTGTGCTTGAATTTATGCTAACTAGCTGTGTTTTGGGGGAGTTGGCAATTTTCTTTTTTAGCTTAAAAACTTGGCATCCCCTCCTCTAAAGTGAATTTTCAGATGTGGCCTTTGTGAATCACATAGTCGTCATTTCCTTATTACCACTGGATATGACATCTATTGAGGAGTCATACAATAGATGTGGAGTTTTCAGAGTCTATAACTTTTGTCTAATGGATGTGGGATGAGTGAGAATGAATTCTTAGCATGTATTCCACTTTAAAGTCATTAAGTTGGAAATAGCTTTTGTCTCAAACTATTTCTTAGTTGGACCTCTGAGTTCTCCCAGTGTCTGTGCATTTCATTGCCGATTAATTGATACTTTTAAAACATTTCTTACAGTCTTATGCATTTATATTTTAAAAAAAATTTTGGAATAAATTTTATTATGAATGTATGTGATTATGATGTTATGGTCTACATATAGATTGTTTTAGATGCTTACTTTTGAAAAGTGAGTAAATAGGGTGCTTACTCAGCCTGTTATTACCTTGCTCCTTAAAAGAAAGTCAAATCCCCATTCTCAGGTGAAACTTTAACACTAGCAGTGTTCTCAATCTTACTATTATTCTGTACAGAAAATTCACACCTATATCTCTTGATTACTTATCGCAACATTGTTGCCAATATAGGCTTGGGGAATTTATTTACCCCATCTGGGGCATGAATGAATTAAGAGACAAATTAGAGAATGAAATAGATGAGAAAATATGGTGTCGTTTGACTATTAAGCAAAACTGGTTTTTATAATAGGTACTAGTAGATGTTATCTATAATGTGCCAGATCCTGTTTTAAGTCCTTTACAGAAGACTCTGATTGAATGCCCATGGAGGTACACATTATTCTCTCTCTAAACATCAAATTGAAGCACAGAGAAATGATGCAATTTAGAATAGGTAACATAGGTGTGAAGATGCTTAAAGTCAGAATACTTAACCATGGCATCCAAGATCCACTTCCCAGAATGAAAAATGTATGAGTTACAAAAGACCAGGGAAGGCTTCAGAGTTGAGACAATTTTAAAACTCGAGCCTTCAAAATTTTCTAAAAAAAAAATAAACAAAAATTTTAAAAAAAGCATAAAATGGGTAAGGATGGCTCAGTTTGGAGAGGAACGTGTGAGGTAGGATGGAGGCAGCGTGTTCTTTTTTTAAAGGGTTCTGAGAAGGGCCTGAGGGTCTGGAAGGAAGGTGTCAATGGATGTGGTTTCATTGATGAATCCTCAGCTTCCTGGCTTTCTGAATAATGGAGGACTCTGGACTGTATCTCCTTGACCCCATCTGGAGTAGACACCATCTATTCCTGGTGTCTGGCAATATTTTTATTCATTCACACTCAAATATTGATTGACCAGATTCTCTGTGGAAACATTTAGAACCAACAACATACTTAGGGACTGTGAGCACCTTACTGAATCACAACAATGGATAGCCTGGTTGATTTCATCCCAGGATGCAGTGGGTAAGGGTAAATTATTCTATCCTTTTATCTATGATAAATTTATGTGTTATTCCTTCTCCACTTAGGCTATTCCTGCCGATTGGTGTCACAGAATATGACCCTTATCCTTTTCAAAAATGTCTCCAGAAAAATCTGGATTTAGAGATGTTGGACAATATGAGCTTATAGAAAATATATGAAACTGGTTAAAAGATCTGGGAAATTTGGTTGGTAATATTTTCTGGTGTGTAGAATTATTTTATTGTCTTAAAATCATTCTTGCTCTAAGTACCATAGATTCTGTAATAATTTAATTTCTTTGAATGTTGATTATACTCAGGTAGTAGAAAAACTGAACCCTTTTGTAGTGTGCTGTTAATTTCAGCTGTGGTAAAAAGTGAAATCCCAAAGGTTCTCCTCTCAGTCATTTTATGGCCGTCTTGTTAGATTGTGAGATTAAAGAACTAGACTTCAATTTACAAGTGTGGATTGACTTTCCATATACCTGGCTCTTCTCCAAGAGTTGATCTCATTTTATCCAAAAACATTAGAAATCAAGCACACCAAACTTGGATTGACATAATTTGATTTGCTACATTAGTTAAGTCACAATTAACTGGGTTAAACCTCCATGGTCTGTCTAGGGCAAGTGTTCTATGTGATAATTCTCTAAGCAAAATCTTGATTCATTTTCCAATTTTTTTTTTTAAAAAAAGCTTAATCTGTTTCTTCTCAGAAGCCTTTAGCTTTGTATATTTGAATTCATGAAAGTGTCAGTAGTTTTATTTATTGCCCTCTTCCTACCATGGCTAGAAAAATACTTAGGGTTTTTCCATAATATCTTTGTGTAGCTTCAGTTGTCAAATGGCATTTTACTTAAATTGCAAAATATAAAATAAAGCAGAAAGCTAGAGCTTAAAAATTACAGCTCACTTCTGCAGCTGTTGTTCAAATAAAATACGACCAGTAAATCCTTTTGCATTAGTTATACTAAATTTGTAACAGTCAACATTGCATGAAGTTCCTAGAAGTCTCTGGGGATGAAGAGTAAGCCCAACATAGAGGAAAATGATTAAAGTTGCAATATCCCCTTTTGTTAGTGAAAATAAAAAATGTAGCCCTCTCTTCTGGGCCTAATCTAAGAACTTATAGGAGTGAAAAATTTTAATGGGAAACAAAGAATTTGATTATTCCAGTCCTTCTGTGTGAAACTGTGAATAGCATTCTGGGAGCAGCTTACTTTTCACCCATAACTGTTATTAAAATTAACTTTAAAATGTATACAAAATTGCTTGTTATCCTCTGCCCTTTTTAAAACCTAATAGGTATTTGCCCATATAGTATTATGATTTGACTTTATTTGGTTAGTTTTAGTTTTAAAAATAATATGTGGTAGTTTTTAACAAGAGAAATAATCTCATTCCTTTGACATAGCTATTGTTAAACATCTTGAGCTCTATTTTTTTCTAATGGCTTTAAAAAAGAATACTTAGATTAAAAGTCATAATTTTGTGCTTTAAAACTTGTGTTCTGAGGTGCTTTACAAGATATTCCAAATGAGAGTCATGAGGGAAGGGACATTCTTTTTACATTCTGAAGTAAACAAACACAAGGTTTTATTATCTGCCCCCAAAACAAACAAATAAAATCCACAAAGGATTTTCTTGGTCTTAATTTTCATCTGCCTTGAATTTTGTTTTGTGCCTGCTATTGGTTTTCCTAGAGATGAAAAGAGACCTGGGGAACAGGAAGGGACCCACATGCAGATCTCTGTTTCTTTTTCACTAGTTAAATGCCTGCCTGCTCTTCCCCTTCAACCAAGCACCTATGAGAATGGATGTTATAGGTGTTCTGCAAGAAAAATCCAGGGCTCCCACCCTTCAGCTCAGGATTGATTAAGGCTCTTCTTGAAATCATAACATATTTAATTGAAGGTTAAAATTCTACACTTTGATGATTTATTTCATTTTTCTATAATCATCAATATATTATCTTGAGATGTTGAGGAAAAAAATGGTTGTGAAGTCTGGTTTTCTAGGATTCTTAGGAGGATTCTTTTCTTGCTTTTTCTTGGTAAGCTGAATGGAAATGGGGGTTGGGAGCCCTGGGGGTCATTGTGGGTCTTTGAGGTGGCTGGAGCCATTTCATTCCATAGAGTCTGTGAATTTGAGGGGAGTAATCAGGAGGTACTCCTGTCTTGGTCTGTGAGTGACCACTGGGAAGGAAAGAGCTTCATAGAAAATATGCTCCTGTCCTGGGAGGAAAAACAAAGAAAGTATCTCTCTTAAGCTATAGAGATAACTTTATTTCACAATAAGATTGAAATTACTGATACTACTTAGGAATCCTTTTGTTTCAAACAAGACTATTTCTTTTCTTTTCTTTTTTTTTTTAAACTCAGATTTAATTCTTGAAATGGGAATTACTTTGAACTTCTGGTAGGAAAAGTGGATCCCTCAATATACAATAATATTCCTTTGAAACTTGAGAGAATTACTTACTTTTTACAAAGGAAACAAAGGAACTTGCTATTCCAGTAGGCATGTTTATGCTGATTTAGGAGCACCATTGGATAGCATTTGTCTTCCTAAAGTGTTTTCTGTTATTTTAGATAATCTAAGGCTTATCCTAATGTTATACAAGGATAACAAGGATAAAGAAAAATCCACAGAAAATTGACAAGTATTTATTTTAGCCTTTAGTTAGAAAGACCTTCTTAGCCAGTTCTATTCACATTGTCTGCAGGAATCAAATTCAATTCAGGCTTATGGTTTCTTCATCCTTGCTTTAGTCCTCTGTGTTAACCAATAGGCTTAAAATGGTAATAAGGTAGACAAAAGAAGGGAGGTTGAATTCGGTCAGCCATTGAGAATTTAGGAACCCACAGGAGGAATGTTAAATTCACATGTTATTCCTTCTCCACTTAGGCTATTCCTGCCGATTGGTGTCACAGAATATGACCCTTATCCTAATGAAGGAGGACTCTTTGGATGTAAGTAGTTTTTTGAAAGTTGTATTTCATAAAAATTTTTAAAACTATTTTTTCTATTATGATGATTAATCATAGAGTGTTCTTTTTCTAGAAAAAGATGATAAAACCACTGCATCTGTTTTCTGTAGTATTTATCAGCAGGTGTCATAAAGTGTTATTCTTAAAACATCAAGATAGTAAAGTTATGATATTGCCTCATGAAATATTAATTTCACTCACCTAGAATTGTGCATTTAAAATGAGAACGTTCTAATCTGGTTTACCTTTAATTGTTAAATATGAAGTACGTCCATGAATGGATGAACCTGTTATGATTTACATTGTGGTGAACTCCAGTGTAGTTTACAAAAGAGATTTGTAGGATTTTTTTTTCCAGTACAAACCTAAAAAAAAAAAATGCTCAAGTGTTAAGAGTTATTTAAATTTTATAAAGGAGTAGGATACGTTAACACTTAATTTCCCAGTGCCACCAGCTCATGGAAGACTGAATATCATGGTTCTCTGAGTATTTTATGGGCATGTTCCCACCTTGTCATGGCTTAAAACCACCAAGGAGACCAGGAATAGGAGCTGATCTGAAGGAAACCAGTAATCTGAGAAGTGATTTGATGTAAAAATAAGAGTTGAATATACGATTCCATTTGTCAAGACTTAACAAGTTCCTGGTGGACACCCATAGACACCTTCCAGGTACCAGTAGGCCATGCATCCTTCTGTGAAGACCAAGATGCTGCCTACCCCTTCACAACCCTAAGGGCAGGAGGCAGGGAGAGCCCACAGTTCTGTGTGTCTCCAAGGCAACATCAGCAAGATAGCGTCCTTGGCGTGAGTGCTTCAGATTCATCTCACCGTGACCCTTATCCTTTTAATATCATTGCCTGAGTATTAGTCAGCTTCCTGTGAGTACAGCAAGATGATGGAGAAAATTAACTTGTAAAGAGAAAAAGCTTGTTTTGATTCACAGTCTCAGAGGTTCTAGTCCATGACTGGTTGGTCCCATTGCTTTGGGCCTGTGGGGAGGCAGCACATCATGGCAGGAGTGTGTGGTGGAGTCAACTACCCACCTCATGGCCAGGAAGCAAAAGAGAGAAGAAGGGACTAGAGCCCCACAATACCCTTTGGGGACATGCCCCCAGTGACCAAAATACCTCCCTCAGAGCCCAACCTCTCACAGGCTCTACCACCTCCCAATAACACAACCCTGTGAACCAACCATGGTTCTTTGGGGGATGTTCATCATCTAAACTACAACAGCCTGCAAGAATCCCAGAATCCCAGGTCATGCCTCATCGTTAGGACTCTACTTCTCACATGCTCTGCAGTCTCCCAAGTGTTCCAACCTCCCCAGTATTACCTACTGCACTTGTCTCTGGTTTTTTCTTGTAAAACATTTTAACAGTGAAAATACTGTGTGTGTGTAAATTGTGGTAAAATACACTGTAATCATTTTAAGTCTACAAATCAGTGTTATTAAGTATATTCATATTGTCGTACAGCCATCTCCAGAAATTTTGCTTTCCTAATCTGAAATTCAGTAAGTAACGACCCTCCAACTCTACCTCCCACCATCACTGGAAACTTTCTGTCTCTATTAATCTGACAACTATAGGTACCTCATATTAATGAATCACACAGTATTTGTGATTGTTGTGATTGGCTTACTTTATTTAACATGATATCTTCAGGTTCATCCATGTTATGGAATATGACAGGATTTCCTTTCGTTTAAAGTCTGAATAATATTGTTATATGTATATACTACATTTATTGATTTATTCAATCATCATGTACTCTTGAGTTGCTTCTACCATATGGCTCTTGTGAATGATGTTGCTGAGAACATGGGTATACAGGTACATCTTTAAGACCCTGCTTTCAATCCTTCTGGGTATATACCAGGAGTGGAGTTGCTGGATCATATGGTAATGATATGTTTCACTGTTTGAGGAATTGTACTGTTTTCCAACAGTGGCTGTACCATTTTGCACTCCTACCAACAGTGGACAGAAATTCCAACTTCTCAATATTCTTGCTAACTCAAGCTTTTTTCTGTTTTTCTTTTTGATAATGACCATTCTCATACTGTGAGAGTCTTATTGCATTGTTGTTTTGATTTTCTTTTCCCTCATGATTAGTGACATTAGCATTCTTTTCATGTGCTTATTGGCCATTTGTAAGTAGTTTTGGGGGAAATGTTTATTCATTTTTCAATCTGGGTTGTTTGTGTTTTTTGCTATTGTGAACACTTTCCATTTTATCTGTCTCCCTCTAGTGTCTTAGGATGTAAGGTCTAGGATAAAAATCTAATTTTCTTTTTATTTATTTATTGATTGATTTTTTTCCTCTCTACTTTCAAGACAGTGCTGCATTGCACATATAAGGAGCTCAGTAATGGAGGGAATAAATGAACAAACTTATGATAATTTTCCATCTCTCAGTAAGAACTTCTATTTAAAAGCCATGCTGATAAAGCAATGACTTGGGCAGCCATGATGGCCAAGGGCAGGATGATCTTTCTAGGGAATAGAAGCTGGGTAAGATGAAATAGCACCTCTGTGGAAAGGAGAATGAGCTATGGGTGCAGAGAGATTCCTGTGACACTTGGTGTCAGCACAGCGTCTACACCTGGGCCTGTCTTGTTTCCTAATGACTTCCCAGTTCCAAGGAATCCACAACTTTAAAATTAGGTACTCAGAGATGAGCCTGTATCTTCCCTCTATGTGTGGAATTCTCTGGAATCCAAGAGATGGCCTTCAGCTCTAGATAACACCATTGGACTGATGGCACAGTTGGAGTTTTTTGGTCCACCTGATCAAAGAGTGATTGTGATACTGCAGTGAGAAAAGTCTACAGGTGCATGCCTGATTTTCTTTAGTGCAACATCATTGTTTTAGTAGGGTTTTTTTTGCTGCTGTGACTAAAGGACCAGATCAGCACTTATAGAGGAGGAAGAGTTTATTTGAGGGCTCACAGTTTCAGAAGTCTTAGTCCATAGGAGGCTGGCTTCATTTCTCAGGACTTGAGATGAGGCTGAACATTATGGTGGTGTGTTTGGCAGAGGAATGCACCTCAATACCCCATAGCCATGCCCCCAATGAACTACCTCCTCCAACCACACCCACCTGCCTCCAATAACCATCCAGCCAATCCCATCAGGGATAAATTCACTAATTAGATTAAGACTCTCCTAATCCAGTCATTTCTCTTTTGAATCTTTTCACATTGACTCACACATGAGCTTTTGGGGGACACCACAACTAAATCATAACATTCATATTTTTGTATCGTATTAGTCAGGATTCTCTAGAGGAACAGGATCAATAGGAAATATAATTATAAGAAGGTGATTTATTAGGTTGCACTAATACATGCAACTAGAAGCTCGATAGTCCACAACTAGAAGCTGGATAGTCCACAATGGCTGTCTTCAGGCTGAAGAGCTGGAAGAACAAGTATCTGCACAGTCCAAGAGACTGAAGCTTCAGAACAAGGGTGCTACCCCAGTCTGAGACAGAGGTTTCTGGAGAATCACTGGCAGAGTCCACTTTGGAAGAGTGATATTCTCAGTGATCACAGCAGCAATCAAGAACCAAGTCAAGAGGAATTGAGCTTGGATCTGCTGCTGCTTCCTTGTTCTTCCAACTTTTATTCCACCCAAGCCATCATCCTATTGGTTGGTGCTGCCCTCACTTAGGGAGAGTCTCCATTTCAATTGGCTATCCCACATGCCAGTCATTCGTAGACACACTCTAATTAACATACCCATAAGCCTCCTAATCATCAGCTTCTCTTAATCCAATCAAGTCGACAATTCAAATTATCCATTACAAGTATAATGACTTCAAAGTGTTCAGTATCTACTCTGCAAAGAGACCGTTTCTGCTATTTTATTTTTTGTTGTTCAATATTCCAAGGGTATTGAACACCTTATTTTGTCTAATGTCCACTCAGGAGTATTCTTCGTATCCTTCTCCTTCCGCTTATTCTTTAGTGGGGTTACAGGTATTCCTGTTCTCATTAAAATTTCATTTGATCAATGTAGAATAAAATCAGAGTCCTGGGGCAATGAATTAGATGGCAGATGCCTAGTGGAGCTCCCAAGTTGATGTTTAAGATCTCAGGGTTCTGATGATGAAGCACACGAGACAGGAGCGAAGGGGAGGGCCTGAGAATTTGTACTATGCTACCCTTACTTCGTCTCTTGCATGCATGAGGGAATGAGAGGCTTTTCTCAAAACCCAGAGCTGGCATCCATCACCTTCACCTAACCAGTAAGTATGCCCAAGCTAGGCCTCCAGATGCTATAAACAATTAGAATTTACTTGTGTTTTGAGCTTTTCAGTTGCTGACAAAATAACATCTAAACTCTGTTACATAGTTGTCTTTGAAATAAGGATGAGTGATGACGTGCATTAGATGATATGTTAGTGTGCTGGAAAAGTGTTGAGATTTTCTTGCTTTTGGTTGAAATAAAAAAGTACTGAGAAATTAGCTTTATCCATAATGCCTAAAGATTGCTACTGGCACCCCTAGTCCTTATTCCTGGCATACTGACTAGAAATGGAGGAATGGTCCAAATAAGAAGGGTCATCCCTGGGGCTTGTACTCTTGTGTGCTTTGGGCCCTTTGTGAGATGCTGCCATCTGTGTGTATGGGTTGAATGGATTTAGGGACTATGTTTAGTTTTGGTGAAACTGACTCTCAGAGATGCTGTTTTTTTTTTAACCAGCTGTAAAAATAGCAGTCTGAGGATGACAAGAATAGGACAAGCAAGAGCAATATGATGGCATTGCCTGATGCGTGTGCTGGGTCCAGGTGTTCTTCACCTTCTGGATCAGTCCTAACAGTGATCATGTTGGATAGATAGATTATACCAATGTCACACTGACCCACAAAGACGATTATCATTAACTATGAATCTTTCCCTAAATATATATGGTACCTTGAAATACATTAGCTGTTATTACATGGAATTATAAGGACAAGTGAGACTTTTTAAA